TTTTGCAAATCATCTTCTTTTTAAATAAAAATATATGTTTAGATTGTTCAGAAGAGGCTGTTAAGGTGTATGGCTGATTATTTTCATTATAATGCGGATAAGATAACTATATTTTTCCAACAACTGTTAACATCTGTTTTCCGCGATTTTATCATGTGTTACATTTTGGCTAAGCTATTGGCAAGTTTATAAACTCAACGCTGAGCTCATCAATGACAATGTTCCTCCCCTCCCCCGTTTAGAGGAGGAGCCGATGCCATCAATAGATTCAGCGACGATTCTAGAAACTTGTCTTATCAATTAAGGATGAGAATTACCCGATATTACGAATAACTTATTTTCGGTAAAAACTTGGCTAATTGAACCAAAAAAAGTAACCGACTATTGGTAAAATGATTACTACCCTGCACTAGCGGATCCAGGATTTAATTTTAGGGGAGGGGCTTCAGCCCGAAGGATTTTTTTTCATATATATATATAACGATAATTAATTTGAAAAATAAAAAGAAAGAAACTAACTACCCATATGACATTGTGTCTTAGTTATTCTTGAAGTCCTATTAAATGTAATCACACGAACAATAATAATTTAAGAGATAGTTTTTAATATTATTTTCTATAAAACATGGTTATATTTTACCATTTTGGGGGGAAAGAGGGGGAGGGGGTCTTTCAGCCCGAAAGCCCCCCTCCCCCGTAGATCCGCCTGTGCTACCCTGTTGGCTGTTTCAGCTGCGAGCCCAGAGCACAGCGGCCTACGTTTTATTTTATACCTTGTTTATGAATAACGTTAGATATATTAAATAATAATTATGTAATTTTAGTACATATTTTTTTGTTCCACTTATTATATAGCAAGAGATTGAGTTTCAGTAGTGAGTTTTATATTTGACAGTTGCCTGAGAAAATGTATCTCTGAGTCCCCTCATTCCACTCAACGCTTTATACTTCAGCAACCAAATGGAAGTAACAATAATTATATTGCTCTCGCATTGTTATCCCTATAATTACCATTCTTAAAAAATAAAAAAAATTAAGCTTAATAATCGACAATTATTAATTGATTCGTCGCTTACATAATTTTACATTTTATGAAAAACATTTGTTTTCAATCACAAATTTTCTTAGAATATTCAAATTATGAAATATTTCTCTGGGAAATATTTCTGTGTTCAAATAGTTAAGGTCATATAACAAATTTTTAAAAATGGGAATATGTATCTTAATTTAGGGAAAGCATGTATTGCATTGTAGGTACTGTGATTAAAAATTGTTTACCAAACAATATTGTTGCATAAATGTTAATGTTGTATGATGTGTTATTATTATTATTTTTAGTTACTTGTAATTTATTTTTCTTAAAGCTCCACCATAGAACTTATTTAATTATAAGAAATAATAAATAGATAGATATAATTTAATGGTGTAGATTTTATTGTTGTTTTCTTCTTTACTAGTTATATTTCTTACAAGTTTATTCTGTGACTCCCATTTCTGTGCCCATTTAGCAAATTCCTTTCTGTCAATGTTGATTGATAGTTCTATATTTAAAAATTGTTTTTACTACCCAACAGAAATTTGAATTTTATTATTTATGTTGTTAATAAATTGATGTGTGATCAAAAAGAATTAACTCATATTTTTATGACAAAAAAAGTTTTGCCTTTGATCAAAATAATTAACTATTTTCAAGGCCAAGAATACATAAAACCTTCTTTTCATAAAATTAATGGCTTAAATCTTTATGACTGAATGCCAGTTAATTTTTTATTATTAAATTATACTAATATTTCATATTTTCAAAAATTCCTTTTTCCCAAATTCTGGAAAAGAACCATAGTCCGCCCACTGAACAAAGTTCCTACTCCTTCATCAGCTTCGGACTCAGACCCATCTCCATCTTATCCAATCTATCCAAGCCTCTAGAAAAATTAGTCCACTCCCAGTTGAACAGCTTTCTCGAGCAAAACCATCTCCTCAATCCTTTACAATCTGGTTTCCGTTCCCATTATTCCACCCAGTCTGCCTTGCTAAGAATTACCCAAGACCTCCAATCCACCATAGATAAACAGAAAATCTCCATCCTAATCTTTTTTTACTTTTACAAAGTGTTTGATTCTGTCAATCATGAGATCCTTCTTTCCAAAATCCAAAGCTTGCCCATATAAAAAAGCGTCCTAAAATGGTTCCTCTTCTTCTTATCAGACAGATCTCAGACAGTTTTAGTTCTGAACAAAGCTCCATCATCCCCCCTTGAATTAATACGAGGTGTAGTACCTCAGGGTTCCTCACACTCCCTGACTCTTTTCTCTATTTATATTAGTGACCTTTCTGACGCCATTCAACACTCCTGCTACCACCTATATACTGATGATTTCCAAATTTGCCAATCATTCCTACCTTCTGAGTAGCCTGAGGCTGCCCGGACTCTACAAGAAGATATTGACTGCATCAACAGAAGGGCAGAAATAAATGAATTAAAGATAAATGCAGATAAAACTAATGCAATTCCAAACATCTCATTAGATCCCTTCCTTACTTTCCTTTACTTTACCTCAATAACCGCCCCATCTATTTTTTCTCTACAGTTAAAAACCTAGGAGTAACCTTAGACCAGAACCTCTCCTGGAATAACCATATCTCCCAGATTACCTGAAAATCCATAACTGTTCTTAAACAATTCCTAAGATTCCGTGATTGTATTCCTCTAAAAACCAGATAGCAACTTGTAACCTCCCTTATATTCCCCCACTTCGACTATGGCTGTTGGGTGTATGGAGGGCTATCTGTCAGGCTAGAAATGAGACTGAAGAAACTCATGAACTATTTTATAAGAAACATCTTCGGGATTCCCAGGCGTTCTCATATATCATTCTGGTACACCGAGTTGAAGTGGCTTTATCCTACTTCCCGACAACAATTCCTCCTTGGTGATTTCCTTTTTCAAGTTCTCAAAACCAAAAACCCTCCCTAAATCCTTGAACTCCTTACTCTACGCTCCTCTATCCACTCTCGTAATACTATGTCTCAAACCATAGATTTATAAATCCACTCCCATTAAACTACTTCCATCGGCAAATCCTTCGTGCTACCTCCTTTTGGGACTCTCTTCCTACCTCCATACGTCAATCCTCGTCCACAAATTCCTTCAAACAACTCCTGTTCCACCACCTACTCCACATTCAAATTTCAGCTAATATATAAAATTACTTGTATCCGTATACTGTGTAATGTCAACTATTGCACAACTGCAATAACAATAAGCAGTATGTTAGCTTGTATTTTTTATTATTTTAAGCCAGACTAATACCCATAAATTTGTAACACTGTTATTATTCTTAGGGAACTGTAGTCTCAGAAAAAAATTATTTTTTTTCATTTCATTTCATTTTATATTAATTTTATTTAGAATTCTTTCTTAGTTTAGTTCGAAATCTGAAATTTTACATCAATGATCCCTTTATGAACTTTATATAAATTTACTAACATATTATTATATGACTTGAGTTTCTATTAAAAACCATGGTTCACCTTTACAAGTTTACTCAACTAATATAATATCCTTGAAAAAATATTTTAGTAGTGTTTAAGAAATTTTATTATATACATTATTTTTTGTTCAGGACGTTACACGAAGGCAGTTACTGATTATGAAGTTATTCTTCCTAGGAAAGTTAAACCCAATGGCGCTTTTCATTCTTTTCAGCTACCCCACTCATTTGAAGAGCATTTGAGGAGAAAGGCATGTATACCAATAATATTTACTTAATTTGGAGTCATTTAATTTAATACATATTAATATAGGTTTTGATACAAATTATGAATTAAACCCTAGACATAGACCAATTGTTATAATAAGGGTATTTAAGAAATATTCAAATTTTTATTCTCACAAGTCAAAGTTTATCACAAAACAACCAAGGTTTTGCCAGTTTAGTTATCTTCAGTACTAGAAATTGTAATTATTACATATTAATAAGTAAAATTTCCAAACAATTAATCATTTTATTTGTTCATATTTTACCATTAAGATAGTGATGGCATATGGCACTTTAATTAATATGAATTAATTACAAGTTGTTGCCCTAAAAATGTGTATATTGATAGTTGTATAAATAAAATTTAAGTTGAGACTTTTTTTTAATCTCTCAAAAATTCTTCATTGATTCGAAATTAATGTTTAATTAATTGACAATATTGACTTTTCAGAAAAGATCAATAAATGATGATGATCATGTACATTATAAATTATCTTTTAATGGTGACGACCACTATCTCCAGTTGGTGCCGAATGTTGGCCTCACTTCTCCCGGAATGATTATTGAAAATCGATTTGGACCTAATATTTCTAATCATAAGATACATGCTCCAAGAAAGCATTTATGTCACTACCACGGCCGTATAAAAGGAGCAAATAATTCAAAAGTTGCTGTTTCACTCTGCAGTGGGATTGCAAGTATTGTGATTCTTTATTAGATTAACTCTAATAATGAGTCATATTAATGCTATTTTGATTAGACTAGTTTTGTGTTTTTATTAAATATACCTCAAAATTTGAAAAATATTTTCCTTACTTCCTGGAATATACAATATAAAGGATCTGTAAGAAATTGTCTTTTCTGTTTACATATGAAATAGTTTGTTGGAGAGAATCCTCTAAAAAAGATTTATTGTTTATGTTTTTGAAAATATTTTCCATGAGTGAATATACCTAACCTTGGTATTAATTATAGGTTATAATTATATTAATTATAATATTTTATTAATTATATTTTATTAATATTATATTAATTATAATTATAATCCTAAATATTATACATTAGTTTTTATATGTGTTATTTAAAAAATACATCTTAGAACCTTTGTTGCTTCATGTTTTGTTTGTAGATCTTTTATTAGAAGAGAATACTGAATTTCACTCTTGCATCATTAGCATTCCTAATTTGCAACAAATTTCTTAAATGTTTAGGAACAATGACTTTCATATATATTTATGAAAACAATCTATCTATTTGTATTTTGTTTTGCAGGCTGGAGTCTTATCAACAGGGAATTTAAATTATTACATAGAACCTTTAGATGAACCGGAAAAAAATGGAGAACATCTCCATATTGTCTATAAGAGATCTTTGTTACACCCAGAAGAAAGTCACACTTGCCAAACCGAAGGTAATCGGTCCTTATTAATATCGATCATTAAATCTACTTAATTTGTCAGAAATGAATTTTATTATGTTTACTCTATAAATATAGAACTTTAAATTTGTCTCTAACAAGTGAAGTCAGTCAGGGCACCGTCCATTTCAACCACATTTTTTTTTAGTGATACTACTTTGAAGTATATTAGACACATACCCTAGCCTTAAGAGCTGAAAAAAAATATATATATATATTTTGTAAAATTTCAAACAAAATTTATGTTCTTTATTTTCACTTTCGCTCTGTCTGGATTTTTAGGTTATTACATACCAATAGATTTCTTTCTGGTGCAAAATAAGAAAAAAAATATTGACTATAGTATTAAATGGGTTATAATGTATCATATATTATATAAAACAAAAGATGATTCTATCATGGTAATTTATTATGAAAAAACAAGTTAAATTCATTTTTACTATCCTTTAAAACTCTTAAATATGAATTTTTGTAAAGTTAAAAAAAAACCAGCACTTGATTTTCTTGGAGAATTTTTTATCCATCCTTTAACTAAAGCAGTCACAACTTCTCAGGATTTTCTCCAAATTCTACGTTAGTGCAACCGAAGGAAAGATGAATTACTGCTTTTCCAACCCACACCAGTGACAGTTGGAGTTCATTCTTTTTTAACCTAGAAATTAATAAAAACTTATATAGAATATTTTTATTTTATTTATTCAGTTCTAATTCATATACATAGGATGGGTTCGCACCATTTTATGTAGCATATAGTTTCCTAAATCTCTAACAATTTTTGTGTAAATCAGAGGAGTCCTCTGGAAGTTATCACAATTTTTGTAATATTCCAAGAAAATTGGAAAGGTCCAACCCAGTCAAAAAATTTGTGAAAAAAATGTTTCTAATTCGATTGATATAAAAATTAGTATTTAACAATTATTTGAAGTGCAGAAAACAAATATCAACTTTGTTCCTCCTTAAAATAATATTACCCACCACATTGTTGTGGGTGGGTCCAATTTAGCTATACTTACAATGAGTATCATATTTAAACAAGTTGTACCAACTGATGTAGCAATATGGGGGTAAATATTTTTTTTAAGAAGAAACAAAGTTGATATGTGTTGTCTGCATCTCAAATAACTATTAAATACTAATTTTCATAGCAGTCGAACCATAAACATTTTTTAAACTTCTTTAGCTATTTCAGTCGGTCCAATTTTTTCAATATTGTACTCATTAATTTTATATAAAAAAAAATAAATTGGTTGAAATCGGAAACCAACTGACTATGACCCCCCTTGTGAGTTGCAAATTCATTAGAACTGAGATATTAAAAGATAAATATTTGTCACTCATTCATGAATTATTTTCACTCCAGAATTATTTTTTTAAGTTAGGGATTGGTTTAAATTTTACATCTTTAACAAATATATAAGAAAGAATGGATAGATATATACAATTAGCTTTAAGATGTTGTTTATTTTGATATGAAGACATGAATAATTTAATAAACTACAATGTACAGTATTTCAACCGGTAGTCATTGTAGTTGTTTGCAACAATTGCAGGAGATTGGTGGAATTCTTGGGCCCAGGAAATGTACCGCGTCATGATAGAGAACAAAACGCGGACAGTTCGCTCAGACCCAAGGCTTAGTGTCCCCAGATATTTGGAATGCTGCGTTATAAGTGACTTAAAGTTTATCGATCACCATAAAGCTAGGGATGTTGAAGAATATGTTCTTACAATTATGAATATAGTGAGTACTGTTTTTATGAATTTGAAATTTTACTTTTATATTATTATTCTTTTTGTTATAATTAGAATAGAATAGAAAAAGAACTTTATTCTGTGAGCAGGTACCTTATGAATAACAAATATGTATAAATAAACAGAAAATATTTCTGGCCAAAAACTACATTTAGGTTCCCAATACACACACCCACACACACATATATATATATATATATATATATATATATATATATATATATATATATATGTATATTATGAGAATGATATTAATTGTCTTGAAAAATAAAACTAACAAATCAAAAGCAAAAATATAAAGAAAGAAAAATAAAACAAAACAAGACATTAACATTTCTCTGTATTAGTTATATTCCTTGAATAGTTGAGAGGGGTGGCGCAAGTTGTGCCATAAAAATTTTTGAGGGAGGCATATTTTGAGGAGTTTTTGAATTTTTGAGGGGTGCACATTTTAACGGGGTTATGAATTTTTGGAATGAAAATTTTCAGAATAAGGAACAATGGAAAAACATGGAACAGACAGCAGCGAGTATAATTGTGTATGATCTACGATTTTTTAAATTTTACTTTCCTTTGCTCTGTTTTTAAGAAAAGTGAGCAATAATAAACTTCGGAGGCGGGGAGAGATTGGTTTTTACGCCATCGACCTTGGACAGGGGATGGACACCACTGATAGTAGATATTATTGAAATTAGGAAATGAAGGTGAAAATGAAACAAAAGTAGTGCAATATTATACTATCATTTTCTAATTCTTTTATTTTTTCTTTCTTATTGACTTTCTCATTTTGACTATATCTTAAACCGCAGTTGGAAAAAAAAAATATATATAACAAAAATAGATAATAATTGATGTTTACAATTATTTGAGTAAATGCTTACGTTAACATTAATAAATGTTTTCATCTCAGGTTTCGAATTACTATCATGATGCCTCGATTGGTCATCTCATCGACGTGGTAGTTGTCCGGCTTGTACACCTACATAAAGAAAAAGAAGAGGTAGGCATTGTTTATTATTTAGTTTAGAGGTGGGTAAGTTGCTGACTGTGGAAATCATAAGGATGAAAAAAAAAAAAAAAAATGGTTTGGATATGCACTAAAAATTTCTTTAATGAGTTAGCTGACATTTTGACCCAAATATATAAGTCATCATCAGAGATAAAATTTAAAAATATATAAAATAAAATAAGAAAACTGATCAATATAAGAGTGAATAATAACAGTAATAAAATAATAGTTATAAAAATAAAGAATAAAATCAGTAAAATGATAAATATAGAAGTACAGAATAGAATTTATTTTTCCAAGGTTAAGGCAAAAAATAATTCCATTTTTCTTCAGTCCTTTTAATTACATCTGTTATATCTTACGTTTAGGGACATTTTCCCATCATCAGAGTATTTATATGTACACTGAAATTATGCACATTTGAAATGAACTATTTTTTCATTATTAATCTATTTTAATATTATATAATTATCTAAAATAACATAAGAAAACTGATCAATATAAGAGTAAATAATAACAGTAACAAATAATAGTCATAAGAATAAAGAATAAAATCAGTAAAATGATAAATATAGAAGTGCAGAATAGAATTAATTGTATAAAGCAATATATGCTAGTTACATACATTATATTGGGGTCGGTCCATTAAATATAACAATAAATGATATTTATAAAACAAGATTGTATAACAATTAATTTCCTTTTTTTCATTTTTTTTTTTTTTTTTTTGGAACATTTCATAACAATAAAAATTACATAAATATAAATAAATATACTGTGCCTACTATCTAATAAATATGAAACAATAAATAATATCAATATTTTAATAATATTTATTAAATAATAAATAATATCAATAATTTGATGTAAAACTAACAAGGCCTCATTAAGAAGTATAAGAGCCGACTAACCTGTATAAAATTGGAGTTATTCAAGATTGATGCTAGGAACAGGAATACATGCTTCATTTTATTTATACTGTAATAATTTAAAATATAACTAGTGAAGAGAGTTCATCATTTTCCGATATATAATCCTTTGAAATTGTTCTCTATGTGAGCTACAGGAGCAATGCAGAAGAAGATAGTTTAGAGTGTCTTCGATGGATTTCCGACGGAGTTTGCATGGTTAGCTGAGGATTAATGTAAAAGCATAAGAGAAGAAAAATTTATACGTTTCATCCTTTTCTTCTCTTATACTTTTATACTAATTATCTTTCTGATTTCATTCTTTACTCTTATTACTATAATTTTTTTTTTTATTTATTCAGATATATAATAATCTGTCACAAGGACAATAGTTATAGTGAGATATGAACATATTCACACCATATATACAGAAAACATAAAATTAACAAATGTAAAATAATAATCAAAAAGTATATAAAATAAAAATAAAATAACTTAAAGATAAGTAAACTAAAAACATAAAAACACAGTCATATCTTTATACAATCAGCCAGGGAACCCAAATCCAAGCTTGTCCCTCCAACTATAGAGAGAGAAGCAGAACATCAAGAGATCCCTGAGCTACTCTCTCAACTGCGTGCTAAAGCTAGTGGAAATTCTGCCTTATTCTTATTACTATTATCTTATTCTTCACTTTTATATTTATCATTTTTCTGATGTTATTCATAATTTATAATTTTTAGCTCTGATGATGTCCGACATGTTTGGGTCGAAATTTCGGCTAATTCATCAAAGAAATCCTGACAATTTTTTTTTTAATGTTTATTATTTAGAGCTCAAAGTTTTGTGACTGATGCGCGAATATTTATTTTTTTTTTTAGTTAGACTTGGACATTAGTCCAAAAGCTGCAGAAGCACTGGACAGTTTGTGTAAATGGCAGCTTGGCTTGAACCCCAAGGATAAAGGACACCCTAACCATCATGATCTGGCAGTCCTCCTCACCAGGTTCATTTATAATTTTTCTGTTTTTGTTTCATTTGATAAGCTCACTAAACCTAAATGTTACAATTTAAGAACACCAGCAATAAAAAGATAGAATTATCAGAAGGGAACCGATCCATATTACAAATGTTTTAAGTAAGTTCAAGTCAAAGAAAATGGCCTTGGAAACTCCGAAAATCAATTCAATGAAAATGCAAAAAATTGTGTTCTACATTTCATCTATCTCATAATATTTTTATCAATATCAATAGATTGATTAAAAACAAACTTAATTGTGAAAATATTTAAAGCAGTGATAGCAGATCTCAAGAGCAAAAAAAAAAAAATGATATATTATATAAACAATCTTCCGACTTCATGCAGAAAAATAGGAAATATAATTTTGTGTTGTTGAACAGGAAGCGATATATAAAAAAAAGTTTAATTAAAGCAATTAACAAATATTCCATAGTAAACTAGATAAAATTGACTAAATTCAAATAAAGTTTGTTTTTGATAAAACCATTTAAAGGGAAGTTTTAAGTGGCTATACTATGCTAAGTTCTTTTTTTCATTAAATCATGGATTAATTTTATCTCCCTCCAAATTGATTATAGATACTCTACATTTGAAAACTACCTTATTTAATATACTTTAAGTTTATAGAAATTAAGTTGAGATTTGTGATAAAATAAATTGAGATTAACCTTTAGTTATACAAAAAATTATGTGATTTAATATCCAGTCACCCCAAAGTAGCTTAGTTTTTAGCAAAAATAACCACTATATCTTATTAAAAAACTTTATTTTCTTTTTTTTTTCAATGATCTGGGATGTCATCTGGGAAATTAATCCCAAAAATACACTTTTTTTTATTTAAAAAAAAGTTAAGAAATAATAATTTTGCAAAAAGGTTTCATCTTAAGTCGTTGTTCACATGTGTTTTTAGACAGATCTATGTCATGAGAATTGATTCTTGTTAGATTAAGTGATCATCTAAATGTTATAAAATATATAACAACAAACGAAAAAAAAGTGTTATTTATTATATCATTGGTTGATTGTGGAATAGAATAGAATTGAAAATTGAACTTTATTCTGGGACTAAGTCCCCTTAAAATAACAATGATGAATTAATACAAAAGAAAATACAAATCTGGCCAAAAACTGACTTATAAAAATTCTAACATGATAAACATTATAAGATACCTAAACCAAGAGATAATTCTTTCTGTTAAAAATAGTGAGTATTAATTCCATTCAAAACCAACTCAAAGTCATTTTGGCATATTGTTTTTAATTTGTTCCCTTCTGCTAAATGATGTTTGAATATATATAATGGATGATTTTTTAAAATAACTTTTAACCATACTATAATTAATAAATGTGAAATTTAAAATCATTGTTTATATGATATTGGTTAGAGATATAGTGTAAATAATTTTTACAATATTTTTTTTTTTAATTTAATTTTTACATTGCCATACTCCATTCCATTTCTAAATTGTAGATAATTAGCATCTCTCCATCGGGACTTCTGAACTTTAACAGTTATATTTAGTTTTGTCACTAAAGATACTTATAGAAAAAAAATATATTGTTTTTTAATCATTATACTAAAGCATCTAATAAATAAATTAATTAGATAATAAATGTTTAAAAAATATTCATTCCAAATTATTTTGTATTTTTTTTTTTTAACTTGATAACTACATAATTACTGTTTGAGAAAGTAAACTATAACTGGATAATTCTCAGTTTTTTAAAAGCTTGTACCTATCAACAGCTGCATGTGCAAGAATATCTGAAATTATATAAACTAAATAAATATTATTTAGTTTGCATAAAATTATGTAAACCAAATAATAACTTTGAAAAATAATTGAAGAGAAGTTTGGTTGGGGTTATCAGTAAAAAAAAAGGATGTAAAATTAAATAAAGAGAAGAATAGTTGGGGTGATCACTCAGAAAATAAATAATTATATATATATTTTTTTATTTTCCTTCAAATGGATTACAGTTATCCTATATTTAAAAACTACCTTATTTAATAAGCTTTTAGCTAAATATAACATAAATATAAATATAAATGTTTATTTTAACCATTTTTTTGACTGATCATCCCAGCCAATCTTCTCTTCAATTATTCACTACAGTAAATCATCAATCCACAATTAAAAAAATTATTTTATTAGTATATATTAAGCGAATATGTTACAAATCTTCATTCTGTTCATAAATGTTTCCAGGCATGATTTATGTTCAACGGGTAAAGCTGCTTGCGGCCTACTCGGCTTAGCCTATGTCGGAACAGTGTGTAATACCCAAAGGGCTTGTAGTATAAATGAGGATACTGGTTTGTCTCTGGGACCAACTGTAGCGCATGAAATGGGGCATAAGTAAGTTATTTATCTTGTTCAGAAGTTTGAAATTATTTTTTTAGTTCTTCAATATTTTCTAATTTAAAACTGTCGTAGCATGGGCTGCCACCACGATGTTGTTTCTGACAATGGATGTTCAGGGAAGTTACCTGATGGATCTGGTACTGTCATGAATCCTTCAGTAGGTGCGGTGACCACTGAATGGTCAAACTGCAGTAAAAGTTTTATTGCCAATTTATTATCGTTAGTAATATACATACATTTTATTTTATTTTATCAATTGTTGATTTTTATTATATTTGTTAGAATATTATGCAATATAAATTGGTTTATAATTCGGAATCTATTACTTCTTAACAATATCTTTTTAGCAGTTATTAATTGCTATTTGGTTTAAATTTTATTTGAGAATTAATTTATGAACAATTGTTTTGCTTTTTAACTTTATTAAATTTATAAAGTAACTTTGTTCAATATTTGTTTCAGGAATCGGATGGGTGAGTGTCTATTAAACGAACCAAAGGACCATAACTACCCAGTGCAAGATTTACTGGTTGGTGCAATTTATGATGCGGATCAGCAATGCAAATTTGTCTTTGGCGATAACTATGTTCACTGTAAAATCGGAGGGGTAGTTTAATGTATTTTTTTATATTTAGTCTTTCATGATGATGCATTTTCAGTTCAAAGGCAAAACCAAAAAAAGTGGTTACAAATGTAAAAAAAATTGTAATATCGCTTTGTGATAAATTTTGAATTTTTGTGCAAAAGTTTCTAAAGAAACTCGATAAATGTGGAAAACGAACCATTATGGGTCAATTATGTAAGTAAAATAATGCAAATTTTATATATCTGACATTTTAAAGCCAAAGACCAGTAATAACTTTGTATTCCCAAAATGAGGAATTTGCACATTTGTGGTTTTGCCTTTTGACCAATATTAGACAATGACTGGTCAATTGTATATTAATAAATTAGATATGATTCAGAGCTATAAATTCATATTTCAGTAGATGTTTAGAAAACTTTTATTTTATCAAGTGTCTCATTTATGGTCTTTTTGCCGTTGTGGAACTTTTTCAGTATATCGGTCACAGTTACTGTAATAATATAATCTGTTAGCAAAGTAGGGAGAGAATAATTATTTTTACTGTAGCTATAAAGATAGGTATAACAATAAGAACAGGAAGGGGGAAGTTTTCCTACGTTCCTGATTGCTGAAAAGCATACAACCTTTAATATTTGTAGTGAAAATTGTTGTTTTCAAAAAATATATTCCATATTACATTTAAAAAGTAATTGAATAATTATGCCAATGACCCTTAGGGGTGGTTGATCTGGGATAAACAAATAAAACGAATATATATACTTGAGTTGCATTGATAAAAAGTGTTGATGACATGCTACAAAACTACCCATCGTTAACCCGTATTGAAAGGTTTGAGGTCATCTTCTATTTATGGCTATCAGAAGTCTACCATAAAGTTGCTTGTTTTATCAACATTGTTTGACACATGCATGCACGCAGGCAAACACACGCACGCATCCCTAACCACCCTCGCTTGCATAAAAACATTTATATGTAATATAAAACAGATCTGGTGCAGTGCGGGCATCACACAACTTTCAAAAAAAGTTGAGTGTGAAGTAAACAGTGAAAATACACACAAAAAAGTTTTATTTTGTTGTGTGCCGATGTTTTGGTCTAATTTTAGGCCTTTATCAAAATTGTTGAATGTCAAAAAACAGTTTTAAGCAACTTTAGGACAAACTCATCTTTTTCAATGATCTTTCAATAATCAGTTTAGGTCAATCACTGCAACTCCCTTCTATGTTGGTTATAATAAGTTATGGTTATAATGGTTCTATGGATTTCTTATATTACTTAGAAATGGATGGAGTTCATAAATGAAGGAAATTTATCAATCAGTCCATAATGAGGATGTATACCTTACTACTGTAGGACCTTCGTAAATATGCGGCGACTACCTCAAGGTTGCTATCAGTGGTTGGCAAAAAGGACCACTATGCAGCCCACTTACCAAACTAGTTCCCCCCTCTCCTTCCAAGTACTAGTATAGTAATGGTATACCATACTACTCTTATTTGTCATATAATAATCATATATAAATATATTTACATGTGTGTATATATTTTTATGTCTAAAGGATAAATTTTGTGACAAACTTTGGTGTAAGGAAATCGGTGGAGGAAAATGTTTCTCTCGAGGACAAATTGTCTCAGATGGCACAAGCTGTGGCCAGAATAAGGTAATTTATAAATTAAATTTTAAAATAATTTAATACAAAAAAAAAATTAAAAGCAACTACTAAATACACCTATCTTATAACACTACCTCTCCAAAGTGACGGAGTATAATTATAAATCTGCTTACACATATTAGTGGGCAAGTGGAGTTGACTTCTTTGTTAATTGGAACTTGATATTGTATTTAGGTGACTTTTATTCAGAAATGTACTTTCCTTATCTGACTACTTTTTAAAAGTATTTATCAGATCACAACTGATTTTTTAATTATATTATTATTTGTTACAAATTTACAAAAGGAAAAAAAAAATTTATTGTATCATATTTATAAAGTTGCACTTAAAAAAATTGTTTAGCTCTTAGTACTGGGATTCATATTTCAGTTATTGTGCCATTTGTTGTTTTGAAAGTCTAAACAAAGTTTTTGTTTGATAATATTGCCAAATTTTTTTAATTCTTACCATTGGCTAAATTTGATCATGAAATAAAAACAAAAGGATAATTTCATACGATGATATTATTTTGTTCTGAAAGTTTCATCTCTTAAAATAAATACATACTTGTAAAGGATTATTTGGATTAAGTAACAAAAAAACACAATATTTTATTTATATTTTTTGATGGGAAAAATCCCACCTATAGAATATTAGTTTTCCTATCCATATCAAATGATTACTAATATTTTATCCATAATAGTGGTGCTATCAAAAACTGTGTATACCCATCGGTGAGCGCCCAACCGCTATCGATGGTGGCTGGTCAGATTGGGGAACTTGGACCGACTGTTCCAGGACTTGCGGAGGAGGCGTTTCTATGAGGCAGAGGCTCTGTAACAAACCCACGCCTAGCCATGGGGGCCGTTATTGCACTGGTGTGAAACATGAATACAAGATTTGTAATTCCAAAGTAAGCATTATTATTTCGATATTATTACATTTAAACATGTAAATTTATAATAGAATATATATCCTATTAAATATAATAATAAATATATTAAATAAAAGACTTATGAATAGCTTCGTAAGATTTGTAATTGGGACTGCCGTATCTCCCACCACTACACTGAGTTAGGGTGGCTCTTCCTCTCCTTAAGAAGACAATATTTCCTAGTCACATTCCTTTATCAAATCATCGCCCTTCTTATGCCTACAACCCTCTCCAATTTAAGTCCTCAATCCATTCCCTCACCACAAGATCTCGACCTTCTGACCTATACATCCCTTCTCATAGATCGGCCTCATTCCAAAACTCCTTTATAGCCCACTCTGTCAACTTTTGGAATTCCCTCCCAATCAAAATTCGGCATGCCCCCTCCCTATCCACATTCAAAAATCTCCTATTCCAATTTCTGTTCCAAAAACAGTCAGATAACAGCTAACTATTAACACTATATATGTATTGTGTAGCAATCATATAATCATACGATAATACTTTGTAAGAGATAGTACATGCATTTCCTATTTTCGATGTAGGAATTTCAATACATCTATTTTTTTTTTATTCAATTATAACTAACTTTTTTTTATATATATACAAGTAAAGTTTTTTTTATGAAATGAACTTATTCTATCTCTTTTTCGTTCTTCATTTCTCAAAGTGTATGTTTATGTTGTTCAACTCTTAGATATAGTTTTGCTCATAGTTTTAAATGTTTTGTACATGGTTTTATCTGTATTGTATATAGCTTGTTCGCCTAAGGTTTTCTTTCCTTTTTATTTTATTTTATCAATTTTATTTATTGTTTCAAACTTTTAGGGCAGTAGTATTCTATTCTTTTGTACAATTTTGTTATTCTAAAGGGACTTAGTCCCAGAATAAAGTTTTTATTCCAAAAAAAAAAAAATATATATATATAGAATAATAAAATCAAATAACATTTGGATGTGTGAAAAATTCAGATTTATGAAATGGGTTTATAAGGATTTATAAAATATGGGTGTTATAGTTCATTGTGAATGTTGTATGTGTCAATTATCAGCTTCAACTCCAGGATTTTTTTTATATGGCAAAAAACTAACAAGGGCAAATATCATTGTCAATTTTCTCTTTGAATATTTATAATAAACAACCTAATCTAGGTTATTCATTTTTTTCTTTTTGTGAGGTTTTTATATAATTATTATATTTAATTAATATATGATGCTGATACAAAAAAAAAACTTTTAATATCACTCATTTTTATTTTATAATTAAAACATCTTTTTAACAAGAATTATTATTTTACGTTTCGGCACTAATATGTCATTTTCAAAATTGTTAATTTTAAAAAAAATAACAACATTAGTCATAAAATCATTATTTATAAAAACTGTTTATATATTTACATAGTTTATTACTCAAAGGACAGTAATTGTTTAATTAAAATATAAATTTTGTTGTCGTTTTTCTTCTGTTCAATATCCACAAATAGCCTTTTTTTTTTTCTCCTCATTTTATTAAAAAACAAAACATATCCTTATTTTCTTTCCCTTTTTCCATCATTTTCACATTATTCATAATAAGCTATAGTTGTCGTTTTTGAAAGTAGCAATTTAAAAAAAAAAATTTATAGCCGAAATGTAAAATGATAATTTTTTTTAAAAAAGATTTTTTAATTGTAAATTATTTATTTCAAGGCTGTAACTCCTCTATCTTATACAAAATCAATAATTTTGGAAACGTAGTTGACTTTTTGTCATTTAGTCAACAATTTAAAAAAACTATTATTCTTTAATAATAATTAAATTCCAAAGTTATTAGAAAAGAATTTTAATATTTGGAAAGTGGGAGATAGTAAAATAAAACCAAACAGAACAGATATATTCTTCAATAGAAGCTAATGTTTCAGCCCACTTTGCTTGTATACTTCAGGGGTGCACACTGGGTTGAAACTTTTACAATGTTTATTTATTTATGTTTAATGTGCTTTATTTGATATTATTATTTTACTAAATATCACCACTCCTATAAAAATTTCAGTCAAATTCAGTTAAGTAAAGATGATGATTCTGAGAAGATAAAGAACAAAACTATAAAAATTGAAAAAATTATCTCGAATATAAACACACTGTTGTTGATTTTAATAGGAAACTTACTCATAACTTACTTTTTTTTTTTTTTGCAAATTTTGTAATAGGACTGCAGTGAACGTGAGCCAACATTTAGGGAATTGCAGTGTACTCAGCAAAATGAAATCCCATTCAAGGGGCAATTACACAAATGGACACCCTTCACCGCTCCTGACAGTGATCGTAAGTATGTTATAAGACGTATTACGCAAGTTTTCATTACAAAATATCGTCAAACTTTCTTAGACATTTTATTATTATTTATGAAAAAAACTAAATATACCTACTATAAAAATATAAGTTTAAACAGAATATATTTTAATTATTGTAAGGTTTAATTCATTAAATCTTATTTAACAAATTATTATAACTAGTAGGCCCGTACGAAAAATTCGCACAGCATATTGTTATCAAATGCCAAATTAATAAGAAAATAAAATAATGCAACGTATCAAAAGATAAAGGAATCAATTGTTACTTTATCCATAAATATAATCGACAAAGGGAACAAACTTAATTTAAATCTTCATTTTTGTTTGGAACCAACATATTTACAAATTTCAATAAGCTGTATCTTTGCGAAAAATTGTCCGATTTCGATGATTTTTTTTTCCTTTTGTAGACAATTTAGTAATGTTTTATATAATCATAGGAATAACCGAGGGAAAGGTGTGCAATTTTTAAGTTATTTGCAAATAAAGTTTCTTTTTTTTTCATAACTTGTTTGCCTGAATTTTCGGGGTGATTGGACTATTTTGCCCGCCTGAAGGAGAAGGAAGCCTTCGAAATCGGTGGCTCAATCTTGAGATTTGGTGAAGAATTAACGATGATATGGCTTGCCGATCAAAATCACCATCGATAAATAATATAAACTCCTCCTGTCTCAATCATAGAGACCTCAAGGCGACGAAATGAGACATGTATCCAATGACAGTACTACAATTAACGTCAGGTTGTGTGGATGCGAACCCCATGCCTTGCATCTCGAAAATAGTACGTTTTTGGGCTTAAAAACACAAGATCCGATAGTTCCGGAGGAACTATCCGGGTCTTGCTGTACGCATCAAAATCTTCAAGGTCCAATTTGTTCCACATCGATCTAAAGACCTACCACGTTCCAGTATTGAAGCCTAGCAAAATGTTTGTATCGACTTTATTTATTTTAGAAAGAAAAACGAAAGTGGAGAATACGATTCGCTAACCCCCCGTAAAATTCTGAATCCAACGGTACCCCATTCATGGTATTTGAGCATGACAGGAGCTTATATTTGGTACAAAACCGATTTCGAGCCTTACTGTAATAATATATGTACAGATTTTAAAATGCTTTCATTATATTATATATGTAACCAATTAATCTTTAATAATTTTATTATAAAAATATACATTTAAACACATTAACCTGTGTATTTTACTTTACTAGATGACTCATGTGAATAATAATAATAATTTCTAAAAAAAAAACCTATATAATAATATTGACAAGAATGATAGAAAATCTTCATATGTTATTCCACAAAGATGATTTTTTATCAATATGGCATATCTTCATTAATTCTTCATCAAATCCAATGATAGATCCATCATTTTAAAGATTTTCTTGTCCTTCGTGGGAGGGAGGAGGGGGGAATCATATTACCCCAAAATTTCAGGGAAAAAAAAGTTATGAAGGAAAAGGAACTTTATTTGTGAATAACTCATAGACGCATACTATACTATATAGTATATACATATAGTATATTAATGAACAAATTATAAAATAATAAGGAAATAAGTTAATTCAATGATACCATAAGATGGAGAAATCTATTCTCTTTTACTTAGTAATTGTAATTGATTAAGGAAAATAAAATTAATATAAAACCGTTCATGTTTTAAACCCAGATTACAATTTGCATTACATTACATAAATATATATAAATCATGTTTCATTCTCCTCCTGACAGAATCTGCAGAGCGGGTTCTAAGTAATTCAGAGATTGAACATGTGATAATTTAACTTATAGGGGCAGTATAAATCACTTTTTGAGAGCTACTCTGTAACAGCTTACTTATTTTATCACATAGCCCTTTAAGGAACAGCTTCGAAGGTCATTGTTTCTTCTCAGTCCAGTGTTGTTTAAAATTTTCACCGTATAACTTCTGAATCCTTCTTTTGGCAGTGCTAAGACTGATTCCACAAACAGGTTCAGGAGTTCTGGGAATAGTACCTGAGCCTAACCTGGCTAAATTGTCTGCTTCTTCGTTGCCAACAATGCCTGAATGACCAGGCACCCACTCAATTGCAACTATATTAAGCTCAGACAGATTGTTAAGTGCTATACTGCATTCTTTAACAACCTTTGAGTATGCCTAATAATTATTTAGGGCACCTATTGCTGCTTGACTGTCAGTGTAGATTATTATCTTTTTCCCAGTCACTTTGTCGAGCAGTAGGTTTTGAGTGCAATGCCAAATTACTAGCATCTCAGATTGCAATACCGAAGCATGTTTGCCAAGAGGAATTGAAACTTTTTGTTTGAGTTAATCAAAAAGTTCGTTTTCCGTCATAACTTTTTACCTGAAATTTCGGGGTAATGTGTTTTTTTCCCCACCTGAAGAGAAGAAAATTTTCAAAATGATGGAACTATCATTGGATTTGATGAAGATATGTCATATCGACAGAAATTCATCATTGAGGAATAATATGTGAAGATTTTCTATCATTCTTGTCTATCAATAATATATATTTTTTTTTTAGAAGAAGAAGAATAAGAAAAAAAGTAAATTTTATTCTGGGACAGTAAGTTCCCTAAGAATAACTGCAATGAACAATGAAATGACAATTTATCATTGGCACTAGAAACAATTAACAATAAATTAAATTACAAAGTTATCTAAATCTAAAGTTAAAATGAAGAAATAAAGAAAAGGCACTAGCAGACATATGAAATTATAGATAAATACAGATGTGCGAATTCACATTTTTGTACATATAAACAATGTGGATGACATAATTATCTGTAAGATAATATTAAATGAGACTGACAGCTCTGAACGTAAACATTATTTTTACACATATTCAGAAGATTGATATCTGAGAAGATAGAAAAATAAATAATGTTTAAATGAGATCAAGAATGAGGATTTGCTTATGGAGGTTGCTAGGGAATTCCAAAAAAAAAAAGTTAGCACATATGAGAAAGGAGTTTTTAAAGGAAACAGTTCCATGAGAAGGAATAAATAGATTTGAGGGTTGAACGAATGGACAGAGGAACAAAGAGTGAACAAATCGAGATGGTAGAGATTTTTTTTGTTAAAATAATTAAAAAAAGGAATACACCTTGGAAATATTGCCGTCGGAAGACTGGATAGAACCACTTCAACTCGGCATAGCAACTAGAGAGGTAGGAGCGCCTGGGGACTCCAAAGATAAATCTAATGAAACAATTCATTAGTCTCTTTAATCTGATCTTAAGCTCACCAGACAGTCCACCGTATACAAGCCAGCCATAATTTATCGACATGAGGGAAAATGAGATAGGAAGCTAGAAATTGACGGATTTTAAGGGACATGGAATCTTAGGAACTATTTGAAGGTAGCAATGAATTTTCGGATTATTAAAGAACAAATATTGATAAAATATTACTCCATTTTAGAATTAGTCATGTACTTAATATCATGAGTTAGATAGATATTTATATGAAGTTGTGAAATTCCACTCTAGTCTTCCTAGAGCATCTTGGACTCTTCAGTTTCCATCGTTGGCATTCACCTCCTTCTAGGGAGCTGTAAATTAAAATAATTTGGCACAACACCACTGCTTGAACACTTCAAGTTTTTCCCAGTGTATTAGGGACCTCTTTCTCTATAAACTCCAATTCTTATTGCTTCCAATACGGTTCTGCAGTGCCCACAACACCGCAGCTGGGCCAAAGGAATGTATTGACCTTCATGAAGTCGGAAAGTTTGGTGATGAAGCCTTCATGTCTTATTAGGAATTGGATTAGTAGGCTACTAATATGATTTTTTTTTTTTTTTGCACTTACATATATTTATCCGCACCTGTCAATTATAACTATTGACAATCAGCAGATGTGCTGCCGTAGTAATGAGAAAAAAAAAAATAAAAAAATAATAAAAAAAAAAATATATAAATAAAATGGCTTGATAGGCATGAGGAAAAGCAATACCCAGCGGCATCCTTTCCATGGCTTTTACTTACTTACATACAATTACGTAAGTAGGTCCCTCATCCAGACCCTTTTCAGTCGTCTTCTGGAGTTCTCCGGCATAATAGTCGTGGCCATTTCATTAATTAGCTGGTTGGAGTGTCCATGTAATTTATTATGGAATCGTTTGTAGTAAGTTCGTATGTGTTCATTGATCGTTGGCATGTGTAAGTCAGTGTGTAAAGTGTTATTATTCACGTACCAGGGTGCTTGGGTAATTAGTCGTAGTATCTTAGACTGAAAAGTTTGAAGTCGTTTTATGTGTGTTGTTTTTGCAATTCCATATATTTGTAGTCCATAAGTCCAGAGAGGTTTTAATAGGTATGTATAAATATTTAATTTCTGTCTTGCTTTTAATTTAGAATGTTGTCTTAGTAATGAATGCAATAGTTTTAATCTGTGATTTAATGATGCAGGTTTTTTCTTTACATGTGGACCCCATGTCATTCTTCTGTCAAACGTCAGGCCTAGGTATTGTACTCTATCTGTTTGTGGAATCGGTATGTTGTCTAAGTATACAGAAGGGAATGTTTCTAGTCTTAGAGTAAATGTGATGTGTTGTGACTTTTGATAATATATATGAGTTTTCCATAGTTTACACCAATCGTTAATTTTTTGTAAGTGATGTTGTAGGTTAAGTGATGCCTGTGTAGGATTATCGTGTCTAGTAATGATAGCAGTGTCGTCTGCGTAGGTTGCTGTAAGTGTGTGGATACTTTGAGGAATGTCGTGTGTGTATGTGATGTACAGTAGTGGGGCTAAGATATTAAAACATAACAAATTTTAATAGTTCGGTGGTGGTCTGTTTAGTTGTGTGGTACTTAAACAAATAGCCGAATAACAATGTTTGGTTATTGCTATTGCGAAACATTGATTTCCATAAGCTCCGCCATAAAAAAAAAAAATCAAAATAACCCCTCTCTCTCCTCCTGACCCAATTTTATGAAATTTAATTTGGACCCTCCTCCACCCATAATACAAAATCCATCTCAAAAAAAGATTCTTAAATTATAACTATACACCCGTAAACGATGGGTACATCAGCTAGTATTGAAGATTGTGGTGAGAAACACTAGAGCTTTCCTTGGCATTTGCTGGAGCGCCTCAGCATTTATCAAGTCATGACCAGGGGTTTTTCTTTTCGGTAATTGTCTAATTTCTTGTGCAACTTGTGATGGTGTGAAAGGAGGTGTTGGTAGTGTGAGCTGTAGTGGTATGTCTAAGTTATTTTGTACGAAAATATCATGTTCTGTATTAACGAAGTCAGTATGTGATTTAAAAACAGAGGAAAGATGAGTAGCAAAGAGTTCAGATCTTTCTTCGTCCGAAACAGCCCAAGAACCATCCTCTCTTCGTAGGGGTGCTGACACCTCACGATGCTTTAAAAGATTCCTTGTGTGTCTCCATAAACTTCCATCGTCTGTCGAAAGGTTGTTAATAAAATTGTCGTAGTTAGTGCTTTTGAATTTTTGAATATGTCTTTTAAGTTCGTTGTTCAATCTGTTAAAAGTTTGTTTGTCTGAAGGAAGTCTATTAGTCTGCCACACTTTACGAGCTCTTCTCTTTGCCCTGATTAAGTCCCTTATGTACATTGGATAATGGGGCAAGTTCACTGCTCTTTGTGACCTAGATGTTGATGAGGACCATGCTGCATCTTGTATACTTTTTGTAAATGTTTCAACGGCTTCTTCTAGTTCCTCTTGATTTTTAATTGAACCTGGAACAGAAATATTGGTGTTCAAATGGTCTCTATATGCGTCCCAGTCCATGCAACCTGTTATGAGCTTAGGTCTCTTTTGTGCTTCAGAAGGCGCGTCGAAGAGAACCATGTGCACCGAGGAGTGATCAGAGCAAAGATCAGAGCTTGTATTGACGGCAAAAGGTACGGTTCTAAGTCCTTTTGTAATAAAGAAGTCAAGTAAGTCGGGAGTTTTGCGTCTGGAGGTGGGCCAATAAGTGGGTGAATTTGGAGTTATCGTGTCTAATGAAAGTTCATGGAGGACAGACCAGAGATTTCTACCTCTAGGAGTAGCCAACCTTGAACCCCAGCCTTGATGCTTAGCATTATAGTCTCCACCTGCGATGAAGCATCTTCCGAGACGTTTGAAGAACTCAGAAAACATCGTGGGTGTAAGCTTGTACCTAGGGGGACAGTAAACTGAGGCAAATGTTATAGTGTAGTGTTTAGTGTATAATGTTATTCCTGTTGATTGTATGTCGGGTGTAATGGGTAAGTCTATGGGATTGTGTTTTAGTGATTTTTTTACGAGTATCGCTGTTCCTCCATGTGCAGTTTTGTCTGGATGATCAGTTCTATAAATAGAGTAATCCTGGATGTAAATTTTTGATCGAGGTGTCAGGTGTGTTTCAGTAATGAGTGCTACGTCAATCCGTTTTTCGTGCAAGTATAAGTCAAGTTCAGTACTGTGTTGGGTCAGTCCGTTGGAATTCCACAAAAGAATTGACAGAGAATCCACAGTTAAATTATTGTGGGGCATAATTAGGGCACCAGACCTGTGTAAACTGTGATAGCTGTTGAAGAAGAATGAAAAGGGGCTGGATTAAGTTATTTAACCCATTAATGATATTAAATAACTGGGAAGAGCTATTATCTACCGGAGGTACCGTCTGGGTAATGCCTCCCCTCATACCTGTACATGTTTTTTGGTTTTGGGGTGCTGAGTTCGATGATGGTTGATTATGTTGCTGCTGAGGTCCTGCGATGTTCTGTGGTTCCGCTTGGTTGTTCCGCTGCCGTATTGGAGGGAATTCATGAATGCCTGGAGGTCCCTGTGCTGGCTCTGCTACTGTGGGACGCTGAAGACGGTTTCTCGCATTGCGCTGAACCCTGAGATCTTTCAGCGTCTGGCAGCCTCTGTAGTTAGCCGGGTGCTGACCACTGCAGTTGGCGCACTTAGCGGGAGTCTCTCTAGTTTTTAAACATGAGCTGCTTTCGTGAAATTCGCCGCACTTCACACAGCGTGGTCGATGATTGCAATATGTTTTAGTGTGCCCATATTGCTGACACCGAACACACTGAGGAATACTTCGCTTCTGACGTGGTTCTTCGATTTTAATGTGAGAGTAATATAAAAACTCAATTTTAAAAATCTCTTCTCTGAATGTCTCTTTTGTAACGTCTACGAAAAACATAGGAAGAGGTTTTTTAAATCGAGATATTACGTTTACCACATTTTTTACTTCATAGCCCATATTTTTAAATTCTTCTCTGATTATCTCGACTGGTGTTCCATGATGGAGATATTTAACAACAACTCTTGGGCACCTGTCCTGTGGGAGTTGGTAGGTGTGAAAGTCCGCGCCTTTATTTCGTAGACTTGAATTTAATTTGCGATATATATCAGGTGTTTGTGGGTAAACAGTGACACCTTTTAATGTTGATTTTGTCTTAAATGTATTAGGGCCAGCTTCATTTTCTAAGAATGAAATTAAAGCATGATAATTCTCCACACCGTTTATAAAAATTGGTGGAGTTTTATCATTTTGAGGCGGTTGTCTTGTTTCTTCAGTTTGTGAGTTCATCTTGGTTAGAACCTCAAAACTGTTAGAGGTTGGAATAGGTTCTGCTGGTTGTTTTTGTGCTCTTGGCTCGCTTGAATCTGACATAGGTCTTTTACGACCAATAACTAGCTCCCAGGAGCCAACATCAGTGTTTGTATCACTATTTGCTAAGTTCATATTGCTTACCTCCTCGTGTTGTGACCGTTCCACCATCGTTGGCGGTGAAATCCGCTCAACCTTTGTTTAATTTTTTGTCTTCAGCTCTGTTGTCTTCAAAAAACACTTTTGCTACACAAAAAAATGAGTATTTATACTAAATTATCACTTTTTAGGAGAGACAAAAGCAAATTAACCTTTAACGTTGTTTAACATCCTGATGTCATATGATTTTTAATTTATATTGCTTATGGACCAATAGCCTATTATATTAATCAGTTTTTGCCAATTAACATTTAACTCCACCTTTACAAATTTTTGTAATCTTATTTTATATTAATGGGAGCGGGGTAGCTCAGGTGAAAAGGCACTGACTTCCTAAGCTCAAGGTCCTGTGCAGGTAATTAATTATTCTTTTTCATTAGGCGTGGACGGATCCTGGGGTCAAAAGACCCTCCCAGGGCATAATAGGGCATGAAATTGGTGCTTTTAATAAAAATATTAATTAAGGAGGAAAACCTGGCAGTTTAACTTGATCCTGACCCTATAAATTCTTTGCACAACCATTGCTCTTAAAACAGTACTTCCTTTTTAAGTACTGAATCTAAGACTTTTCATGGGTTGTGGTACAGGTTTTTTCTATTTTCTATTAATGCTAAAATATTAATTTATCCTAGATAACGATGTGCTGCTGTACTACTTCTACTATTTATGTCACTAAAGATCAGTTTCAGTTTTTGAACATTGTTTCATTGTTATTTTTTTTTTCAGCAAATCCATGTGCTCTTTACTGTGTCAATGAGAGGCGATCTTTGGTAAAACTTCAGCCAAGGGTAAAAGATGGCACTCGTTGCAGAGCAGGAAGTAAGGATACATGCATTCACGGAGCCTGCATTGTAAGCTAATGCATAAACATTTAGTAGACTCAGCATATTCCTTATCTCTTTTTGACTGTCTCTTTTTAAAAATTTCTCAGAATAAAGATCTTTAATAGTGGAAAGATCTCTCAACTATTTGAAAAATCCAAATTGATTCAAGTACCTAAAAAGAGTTGCAATTTATATTAGGGAATCTCATTTCTTTCAAGATGTTTCAAATTATTAACATCCATTCTTAAATTGCTGATATTAAAAAAATTAGAAAATCAGAGACTATCAGTGTTGATTGAGACAGATCCCATAAAATTGATGGGATCACATATTTTCCTTGGAATATGTTGGAATATGTTCCTTGGAATATGTATTGGGTGAATAAAAAATGATTTTAATCATCATTTCTGTTTTTTTATTTTTGTTTGTTATATTGACCACCAATCTAATTTTTCAGTGCTGAATTCAAAGCAAAAATCTTTTAAATTTATGTTACCTAAATATTGTATTTATCATGTTGAATATTAATTTTTTTAAGATTTTCTAGGTCCTACTCTAGTTTAATATTAATATAATGTAACATCCCTCTTATATTTTAAAATAATAATAAAATAACCTCGGAAGCTCACTTCTTACCATTGAGATACTTCCTAAATAAATAAGAGATTGTGTAATAATAAACAAAATTATAAGAGAATTAATATATTTATTTATCTCAGGTGTGTGTTACTGACAATCAGATCAACTCAGACAAACTATTATTATTTAAACTAAACATTGTTTGATTTTAAAATAAAGTCAAATATGGATTGGCAAGCTAACCTTTTTTCTATATACACTGTTTCTTCCTTTGTTGCAATAAATTCATTTTTATTCAAATGCTTTCCAATGTTCTACCAAACACAACTTCCAAAGTGGTAATACTTTCTTCTCCTCAACTCAAGCTCCCTGGAAGATCCTCTCTCTTGTAATTTCCAATAACCAGTCTCTCTGCCAAACAACTTCCAAGATGGTAATACTATTACTGAGTTTTTTTGAGTTTTTCACTGGAGCCAGTATCACTTCTATCCTCTCTTCACTGCAGCCAAACATCAACTGCTTGCCAAAACAAAAACCTTTGTCCTCCTATTTGGGATTTTCCTTCTTGGGAAATTACAGAGTAGCCATTTTCTTTTCCCTGCACTAGTAGAACTAGATTAGCTTGCCTTTTAATTGTTCAACATTAATTTATTAAATCATTTTTACCCACTTCCAATAAAGGTGTACATTACAATAACTTTAAAATATTTTAATCTATTTTTTATAAATTTATGAAAAATAGTTTTATCATTAAAATAAATTTCAATTTTAGCCAGTTGGCTGCGACTGGGTCATAGAATCGCACTCTGTCGAAGACATTTGTGGTGTTTGCAATGGTGATGGAACAACTTGTAGGCTTGTTAATGATACATTTAACTCTGCTAAAGGAGTTGGTATGGTTCTTTATTTAATGTTTTCAAATTATTGTTTTTTTATGTATATTACCTTATGATAGTAATTATATATATTGACTCCAGATTGGTAATTTTAAGACAAAGAAGTTGCAATATGACATATAAAAAAAAAAAAAGAATCAAAATGGAGTATAAACACACAATAAAAACAAAACCAAATTTCAAATCACAAAAAAAACTTTGTTGATGCCTTAATTAAGCACAATATTGAGCAAAGGCTTCCCCCAGTTTTCTCCGATCTCTTGAGCCCGCCTCATCCAGCTTTTACCTGCTATCTTTGTTATATTGTCTTTCCATCTCATCAGTTGTCTTCCTATTCTTTTATCATACAGCAGCCACCATTCCATTACTTGCTTCATCCATCTTTCATTACCTAAATGTGCGAGGTACCCAGCCCATCACTATTTTAGTTTTAAAATCACCTCTTAGATATCTTTAACTTTATAAGTAGAGTTAACACATGTTTTAAGAACTTTACCCTGTAGCTGTTGGAGGAAATTTCCTTTCATAATAAATTGTAAGAACCAATATTATTTCCATATGATTCCTATCTATTTCCTTTTTGGTTCTGCTGTTGAAACAGATTAATTGGCTAAGGTATATAGCATCTTCATCCCACTTTTTCTTGTCTTGTTTCCTTGTATGACTAGATTTTCTTGGCTTACGTTGGTGCGCAATTTGGTTTTTGAGAAATTTATATCTAATCCAGAGTTTTCACCATATTTTTTTTTAATTCCCTCAAAACAAATCCAACATCCCTCCCACTCAAATATATACTAATAATATTTTATATCAAAATAAAACGTAGGGCAGATAAATAAATAACATATACGGAAGAGAAAACATTTCATACAATTGTACCTAAAATACCACTAAACTCTTCCTTAAGTAATAATTTAATATCAAATCATATAAGAAGCAACTTGAATATCAAGGCATATAAGAAGAAATCATATGTAACTACTCCTTTTATGCCTGTTTAACTTATATTATTAAAAGAAAAGATTAAACTTAGATCAGGCTTTGATTGATAAAAATTGTTTCCCTTTTTTTTCCTGGCAACCTTGAAATTTCCCTAAAAAGAGAACTTTTTTTACCAAAGTGGAAACTTTGGTCCAGTTCTAAACTTTTGCTGTGCCTCTAAAGTTCGACTATCATCTCCTTTAGTTCTTGAGCCAAGCCACATAATAATACAGTATCTTCAGCAAATTTTAGGTTAAATCTCAGTTCATTTATTTATTGCTTCATTGTCCCAGTCCAGTTTAGGTTTTCAAATGTTTTCACGTTCAAGGTGTTGCTAAATATTAGGGGGGAATCCGGATCACCTGCCTTCACACACTTTTTTATATTAATTTTTTTCTGTTATTTTCAGAAAGTAGAGAAAAAGTTAATGTTTGTTATACAGCTTGAATTTTGAAATAATTCTGATGAATTTTTTTCATGATTCTACTTCTCAAATAAAATCATCATAATTGGTTTGAACTGAAGCTAAGAAATAAAAACTTTTTCTCCACTTTTTGGAAATGACAGATCTCCATTTTTGGTGTGACACCACTCATTTGTTTTGTTTTTTTCGTGAGGTTGGCCAACTCTGGATCATGCAAATATCACTTAGCCTTCTTTGTTTTTTCCTTTCTCCTAATCCATACCTACCTCATCCTCTCGGATACATATATAGACATGTATTATATATTATATATTTCCATATCAAATAGTGCTCTAAAGCGGTTCCATTATTTTTTGTATTAAAGATCCCAAACAGTCATCATTCCCAATAAAACTCCTTCCTCCCCCTCTTACTAACTGGTGGTGTTCCTCAGGGATCTTCGCTCTCCCCAACTCTTTTCTCCATCTATATTAATGACCTTCCTGATTCCATTCATCGCTCACAACGCCATTTATATGCAGACGATCTCCAAATCTACCTTTCCTTCCATCCTACCAAGATACTTGAGGTGATCCGAAGGCTACAAGAACATATCGACAGTATTAATACCTGGGCAGCGAACAATGATTTAAAATTGAATGTTGAGAAGACCAAAGCCATTCTTATCGGATCCGAGCATCTGATTAACCTTATTTCCTATTATTCTCTACTCCACCTCAATAGGATACCCATACGTTTCCACACTTCCGTAAGAAACCTTGGGGTTATGTTTGATCAAAATCTGTCCTGAAATATTCACATTTCCCAAATTATTCGAAAGTCCATTGCTACCTTCAGACAGTTCCTGAGATTCCGTGACTCTATGTCCCTTAAAATCTGTCAGCTCCTAGTTTCCTCTCTCATTTCCCTCACTTCGATTATGGCTACCTTGTATACGGTGGACTGTCTGGTGGGCTTGAGATCAGATTAAAGAGGTTAATGAATTGTTTCATTAGATTTATACTTGGAGTCTCAAGGTCTCCAGTTGCTATGCTGAGTTGAAATGGCTCTATCCAGTTTTCCGACGGCAATATTTCCTAGGTGCATTCCTTTTCCGGAAAACCTCCTTACCTTCTTGATATCTTTACTCCTTGTTCCTCTGTTCAACATGAGATCCCAATCCTCAAATTTGTTTATTCCATCTCATAGAACTGTTTCCTTTAAAAAATCCTTTGCCAACCTCTTTATGGAAATCCTCCTCATCCTTGACCTCATTTAAACAGAATTTATTTTTCTATCTCCTTAGTAATCAATCTTCCGAATATATGTAAAATAAAGTTATTTTGTACTTTAGAGATGTCAGTAATACTATACCGATATCTTGCAGATATCTATGTATGTGTCATATTGCTTATTTGTTCAAATAGTGAACTCACCCGTTTGTAATAATCTTTAAATTCATATGTCTACTTTAAGATCATATGTTTACTTCAGTGTCTTTATTTTTAATATTAAGAATTTTTAATATTATGAAAAATTTACATGTTTCTTTATTTTAATATTAAGGTTAGACAACTTTATAAATTAATTGATTTTTAATTTTCATTTAATTATTCACAATCGCCAGACAATTGTCATTTCTTTGTTCATTGTAGTTATTCTGAGGGGGCTAAATGTCCCAGAATAAAATTTACTTTCTTTCTGTTATATTTTGTCTTTTCCTTGACTTTCGATTGGCTGCATTTGTGTTAGGATCAATATTTTGTAATTTTGGTGACTTTCTTAACAGCCAAATGCATTTTCAACCGAAATTAACATCAACAACTTAATAACAATAATGTAAAATTAAGGTTAAACATTGACAATTAAATATGTAGTGGTATCATTACGTAAACGAAAAATCTTTTGCAGGCTACGTTAAAGTTGTAACCATTCCTAAGGGCAGTACAAATATTGATATAGAAGAACTTGCTCCCTCTGACAATATACTTGCTGCTGGAAACAGTGAAAAAGTTTACTTTAATGCTAATAAGTAAGCTTTAAGTTTTTAAAATTATATTTATTTTAATTTTTATACATTTCCCACTGAAGTGGATCATTGTAAAACAAATTTTTTTCAACTATTTTTTAAATGAAAATTTATTTTTGGTCTGTCTCAAACATTAATCGTTGGTCAATGAAGATGAGAAATACGTCTTTTTATTATTTCAATATTTTCAATTGGGCCCCTTCAAGAATTCCGAAACTTCTTCTAAAGTCTATACAATAAACGTTCAATAGGATTAGGTCTGTAGATCAAGCCAATATGGATGTTGATCTAAAAATTAATTTATGAGTTGATCATTTATACCAAAAAAAAAAAAAAAAAAAATGGGTTCTGGTCAAATTTCTTGTGACATAGGCTGCATTATTGCTGATAAAACATCCCAGGAGTAGATTTATAGCTGGGTGGGATGATTGTGTTTAGGCTGATTGTATGGATTTGGGTTTGGATGGATGGAAGTGTGTAGACAGCCATAAATGGTATTGGCATCAAATAAAAGGTTTATCTAAGCCTTTTATCACTATTATTGATTAGAACATAACGCATTATAAGCCATATTACCAAATAAAAAAAAATTAGAGAAATATTATAAGTTTTACTTAATTTTAGAAACTAATTCCAGAAATTATCAAAATATCTTGCAAGCAAACTGGAAGTCAAATCCATCAGTGAGTTTTGTTGAGTTGCGTGATACGTTTGTTTTTGACAGCATTACTCACTTATTATTTGTCTTTTGTTGTTAATATACTGTTAGTGTTGTACTGTTATATGTAGTTGTTTGTAAAGGCTTGTACTGAAGCTGTAAGATAATCTTGACTCCCCAAGTTGAGTTATTTTAATAATTTTACATTTTCAAAGTCTTTGTTATATTATACTTTTGTATACTTGAAGTTAACTATTCATGTTATTCTATTGCAGCACTGAAAAACCTCCTGGTGAATTCAATATAGGAGGAGTCATCGCATTATATACTAAACCGGAAGAAGACCGGGAAGAATTACATATAAGGGGTCCTACAAAAGAAGACATAATTTTCTATGTTTGTATAGTATTTTTAAAACAGCTTTTTATATTCAACCTTAAAATAATTAAAAAAAAAAAATATAAATTTTAATATAATATTTGAAACAATATGAAAAGGAAATTGTAATATCTGTTTATAAATATTTTATATATATATTTTAATATGGAGAAGTAAACAGTTTAGCCGATACTGTGTTGTAGAAAGTTATAATTTTGAATGCCTGTTTCAGAGGAAATTTTGTAATATCTACTAGAAATATGGCATATTTATAAGATAAGTCTAAAATATGACATCATTATATAAATAGATAAAGACAAAACAGTTCAGTACTTTTTTCTCAGTTGATTTTTTTTTTTTTTTTTTGCAGCTATTGATGAGCTTTATTGTTATCAATGAAACAAATTGTAACTGTGTGTATAAATAAAAATATAAATGTTACTTTTTTAAAACTGCTAATTTCTGAAAGTTCTTTACCGATTGCTTTGAAATTTTTAAATAAGGTTGCAATCAAATTCAGGGGTGTTATTATATACATTTCATTACCATCTGTCTTTTTGTTTCGATGTAGTGTCCAAAAAATGTGTGTCTACACTATTGTGTTTACTGCACTATAAACTATAGTACAAAAAGGACTGTAACTATTTTAACGAAACCTCTCTAAATCTTCTCCTAGAAACCCTTTTAATTTATCTATATAACATACTTCCTTGAGAAGGGTAAGAAAAAAAAAATAACAATTTCAGAATTTCATTTACGAATAACTCAAATAATAATAATAATGCTCAAATAGTATTGAAGTGTTAACATATAAAAGTATATGTTCTGAGATATACTACAAACGTATGTAAAATATTAGAAAAAAAAATTTTTATTAACATTTAAACTCACAATTGTTTTTCTTAAATTTAAAATAATGATTATGGTCGAATTTCGACCACTGGGCGAACTCTAGTTATTTTAAATATAAGATTACGAAGAACAGACAATTTATAAAACTTTATCAAAAGGAATTTTTATCAGACTCATTTTATCAAGAATGAGAATATATCGAAACTTATTCAACGGTGATTCTAGCCGATTCTGGACTGAATAGATAAATAATTTTTTTATTGGTCCATAGTAATCTTAGTCAAATATTAAACAATTACAGTGTTAATTAAAACCTGTACCACTACAACCGATGAAGGGTCTTGGGTTCAGTACTATTTAGGGAAAGCACTGTTTCTAGGTCAACGATTGTGTAAGGAGGTGATTTGACCGAGATCACGCTCAACCGCCAGGTTTTCCCCCTTAACTAATTATTTAATTAAGGGTACCCATTTTATAGAGGCTGGGTGTGCCCCAGGAGGGTCTCCCTACCCAGGATCGCCCCACGGCCAATGAAACAGATAAATAAATCTTCTACTATGAGCCGGGGTTCGAACCTGAGACCTTTGCTCAGTACCCTCAGTTGGGAGCTCAGTACCCTACCACTCAGCTACCCCACTCCATGTGTGTTAATTAACAACTAAGTATGTTTCAAGAAACACTCTAAAAATTTAATCCCTAAAAGCATTATTTTTCTTGTTATAACATTTAGTAAAAATCCACTAGCCCCTCCTCCCCAAAAAATCCTGAATCTGCTACTATGACCATGAAATACACTTGTGGAATCAAATTCACACTACTTTTAGAGTTATACAGAGTTCTGCCTACATATCATAGACAAATGTACTATTAGTTTCTGTTTAATACTTAATTATTTTATATTTTTTTTCTTTTCAGTATGTTTACTTTAAAGACGAGAATCCTGGTGTGAGATATGTCTATGCATCTCCTGTTCCTCAGCCAGATTTTACCCCTATCTATCGATGGGAGTTTCTTGAATGGGGAGCTTGTTCTGCCAGATGCGGAGGAGGAAGTGAGGTACATTAGATTCTTATTGGTTTGATTGCATAATATAGAGTATAATGTAAGTTTTTTATGTTTTCAACAGCAATGTCATTGCCAGATTACTTAGGTTTCATAAGTATTTAATATTAAAGCTATTTGTTGTAAATGGACAAAACTCTTAATTTCCGTTAGTTATTAAAATTGATTGTTAATATTGAAAAAAACAGTTTAAAGTAGCTTTAACTTTTATGAAATAAAAATAACAATTATTTCTTATGTTTTGGATTTATGTATAGTTATAATTATAACAAGATCTAAGTTTCCCCCAAATTATTTATGCATACAAATTTTTTTTAACGTAAAATAGACTAGAAATTTGGTTTGAATGCTGAACAAAACTTTGGATATAATTCATAAATGACAGTTGCTAAACTGCGTAAAAATGTTTGTTTGTTATATAAGTGACAAAAAACAAGAAATTCTAAATAACATTATGCTAAAAAGTATAGCAAGTAGCAAGGACATTTCTTATTATTATTAATTCAGGTCAACAACCCACAAGGGTTTTGGCTTCCTCCAACAGCAATTGTCATGTGTCCCTATTTTGTGCTGCTGCCGCCATCCATTTTCTCACTCCAACGGACCTTAAGTCACCTGCAACACAGTCCGATCACTGCAGCCTGGGTCTCCCAACTCTGCGCCTGCCGAACTGATGTTCTGTTATTATTTTCTTCGGGATTGATTGCTCTTGCATCCATAAGAGGTGTCCCGCCCACTTTAATCTTCCTGCCTTGATAGTCGTGACTACATCAGGCTCGATATAGAGGGTATAGATTTCTCTATTTCTACACCTTCTCCATTGTCCGTTCTCACAGGTGGACCCATAAATTCGGCTAAGGATTTACTCTCAAAAGCAAGCAGATCCCGTTCATTTACCTTTGCGGTAGTTCAGGTTTCAGAACCATAAGTCAAAACAGGGTGGATTAGGGTTTTGTAGAGGATGACCTTGGTACGTTGCGAGGCGTCTGCTTGATAGGTGGGAACGGAGTCCATAATAACAGCGATTTGCTGAAATCATTCTTCTCTGTGCCTCCGCTCAGATTTTATTGTCGCACGTAACTTGTGCACCAAGATATGTGAATTCCGACACTTGTTCAAACATGCAGGGACCAAATGCAACTTTGATACCGATCTGTCGGTAAATAACATAATGCTAAAGAGTATAACAAGTAGCAAGAACATTTCTTTCCCTGCTTAATCAGCAATTGTAGTTATCTGTTATAAAGTTTCTACTCTTTGTAATTTAGTTCAAATTTGGAAATCACCTTGATAATTTTATAGCTGTTATATTTTAACATGTAAAGAAATTAAAAAAAAATTATGATTTCTAACTATCTATGTATAATTACCACTCTGGGTAGATAGTCTTTAACAGCGTTGAATAATTTACATCTTTTTATGTAAAAGGTTAATTTTTAATGCATAAGAGTGAAGTACTTGAAGATTGAATCCTCCTTATGATCTCTCTAATATATCATTTAGTATCTGATAGAATATGGCATATCCAAATCACTACCATTTATGTTTGATAAAACAGTTATATACACAAACACTGTAACATTGTAGGAAAGGCAAAGACTACCGCTTGTAGGGATGCACATCCTCCCCAAGGTCAATGGCCCAAGAACCTACCCTTCCCCCTTCTCAGAATTTTTATTGCTCACATTTTCTTAAAAATAGAGGAAACGAAGGTAGAATTAGAAAAATCGTAGATCATATACAATTACACTTGCTGCAAAAATTCATTCTGAAGCAGATTCATAAATAATTTTTAGCAAGAAATTTTAAGTCTGAACTATTTTTTAATATTTGTTTGCTTTTTGTCACTGACTTATAGAGCTTTGGAGTTTCTTGTTTAACGCAAAGTGAATTTTGGCTTAAAATGCATTTTTTGATCCATAGCTCCTGAAGTACCAAATGACACATTCACACTTATAAGTATTCGTATCTACCTGCATTCGTATGTATTTGGTAGTACTGTTACGCATCCTGGTTCTAACTAACCTTCTTTTCTCCTGAGAACTCTTTTAGCTTCTTTTTTTCCTAAAAAAGAATGTAATTGTTATCCTTTGTTAGTTGATATTTTTTTACTTCAGATTTGTAAACCGAGTTGTATTGAACAGACTCACGGTAAAGTTAATGAGAATTCATGTGATGCCAAGAGTAAACCTGAACCTTTAACAAGGACTTGCAACTTACAGAAATGCCGAACAAAGTGAGTCGTTATTTATTTTTACTCTCTATCTGCTATAATTTAACAACAAAATACCATTAATAATAGTATCAACATGCTTAAACTGTCCTTAAACTATTTGTTAATAGTCCTTAGGAAGACAAGTAATCAGAATATACAGTCATATATAACATGCATGATGCCATGCATGACGATATATATGACAACATATCCTGATTATTTGTCACCTTCATAATTTTTTTAATTAGGTCAATTACCGTTAAGTCAACTTTATCTTCATCTTTAAATTATTAATATTCCTGTTTCATTAAAAACGGCTAAACAAATATTCGTTGAGTTCAACTTCTATAAACTCAGAACTTATATAAATCTCTTGATTACCAGAAATACACATAATAAAAATTATTGTGAAGTATTAAACTGTGATATTAAGGAAGTATTGAGAATGAGGATACAGTCACAAAATATCAACTAAAACATATTCTAATATACACCTTAATTGAAAGTTAATAAATTAATGTAACTGTTAAAAGGCAAGCTAATCTAGTTCTACTAGTTCAGAGAAAAGAAAATAGCCCTGTAGTTTCTTCAAAAAAGAAAATCCCAAAGAGGGAATGGGACAAAGGATTTTGTTTTGGCAAGCAGTTGGTGTTTGGCGGGGGTGAAGAGAGGATGGGAGAAGGGATCCTGGATCCAATGAGTAAAACCAGTAATAGTGTTACCATATTGGAAGTTGTTGTTTGACAGAGTCACTGAGAGAGGGTCTCCCAGGGAACTTGAGTTGAATAATGAAAGTGTCACCATTTTTAAAGATGTGTTTGGCAGAACATTGGACAGTTTTTGAATACAAGTGAATTCAGTGCCTCAAAGGAAGAAACAGTGTATATAGAAAAAAGGTTAGCTTGCCAATTCATACTTGACTTTATTTTAAAATCAAACATTGTTTAATGTAGTTAATGTTAGTCCGTCTGAGTGTTTTGATCTAATTGTCAGTAACCCATACCTGAGATATAATAATTGTAAATTTCAATGTAATATATTAATACCCTTATAATTTTGTTTATTATTTAATAACCTCTTATTTATTTAGGAAGTATCACAACAGTATAAAGTGATCTTCCGATGTTATATTATTATTATTTGTAAAATATAAGAGAGATGTACAATGTATTATATGAAAGATCTTATTTTACTAGCTACAATGAAAATTTTGTTTAAACTTCCCAGAAAATCTAGAAAAAAATATATATATACTTAGAAAAATACTACATAACGCTACTGTTAGTGCAACAGGTTTTATGTAAAAATTGAGTTTTTTTTTTTACAGATGAGCTTACAAATCGATTAATTCTTTATGGTTTATTAGTATAATTTTATATTTTATTTTCCTATGCTTTCCCCATTTAACAGATTACTTAAAGCAGTTGCAGACTTATTAATATTCCTATCAACTTATTAATATATCTGAACATAATGAAAGATTTTTTTTTTTTTTTTCTGTTGTCATTATTGATCTTGCAGATCTTTTGCTGCCTTATCCATATCTGCATATATTGGTCTATTTCTTTCTAGTGCATGTTGTATATTGAATGAAAATAAAGAAATTAAAAAATGTATATTAGATTTTGTGTTTTCTAAAATTTTCAACTTCTCTATGGTGTATTATAAATATATATATCCTGATTCTTATTTGTGGAAATTAATTTTCAACCTGAAAATACTTGTTTTTCCTTTAGTCAATTATCAATTACATAGTTTATATTCAGCCATATTTTTATTACTATTAACAGGGAGAAATAGTTAATTATTTAAAATAAACCAAAAACATTAAACGAGATTTCATTTAGCTCACATGAAATTTACTAAACATAAAATATTTTAGAAAACTAGGATAGGTTCGAATTTCAACATTGTTCAAAAGTGCTTATTTTGTACATTTTTAACTCTTATAAAAAATAAACTTATTTGTAGGTGGAAAACCTGGGGTTGGGGTCCTTGTTCTGGCTGTATGTATAAAACAGGAGAAAGGAAAAGACAAGTGGAATGCGTAATGGAACTTCCATCCCATAGTGATGGTGACGAAATCATAGTTGATGAAAAAGAATGTTGTACCCCGAAACCGATTACGAAAGAACTCTGCAACTCATCCAAACCTTGTAATTCTTCTGTAAGTAATATTATAAATTTAATTGTTTTTTTTTCTCTTAATGTAGGAGTGTGGTAGCTCAGTGGGTATGGCACTGACTTCCAGAGCTCAAGGTCCTGGGTTCAAATCTGGCTGATGGCAGGTAATTATTTATTCTGTTTCATCATTCATGGATGGACCCTTGGGTCGGGAGATCCTCCTGGGGCAACCCAGCTTATATAAAGTAGGTACTCTTAATTAATAAATTAGGGAAGAAAACCTGATATGATTGATCTTGATCTTGGTCAAATCACCTCCTTGCACAATCATTGATCAAGAAACAGAGTCTTCATAGGTTGTACAGGTGTAGGGTAAAGGTTTTTTTTTTTTTTTTTCTCTTAACACCATTATACATTTTTTAAAATTTTAAGTATTTTTAATTATATCTTCTTGATTTAGGGCATTGAAAAATGTATACTTTTCTAGTTATTCACAGAGTTTATTTTCTTTCACAACTTTTTTTCTCTAAAATTTTGAGGGGACGGGACTATGACTCGTCGCAGCTTCATGCAATTCCCTTATGTTTGGTACCTCATTCATCAAAATCTATCGCTCTGAAGAGTCAGAAAAGAGATCTACACTACAACATCCTACAATATTATATATAAAGATAGATATGGCAAATGGATTTCCTTTTAATTCCGTGTATTAGTTATTAAAATTTACTCAACATTGTACCCTACATCTTCTTGTATTTGTCTTAATATTTTCATTATTACTTCTGTTGTTATACTGAATAAAATATTTTGTCTTACGCATAATAAAATTTCTATGTGTATAACTATTAGTTCTTAGACTGTGATTGGAATTAGAGTAATAATGAAAGTATTTATGAACATGAGAGGACCATCTCATAATGCTAATAAATTTATTATTGTTATTTATTTTATTTTTTCAAAGTTTTTCAAACAAATATTTGAATGCTATCATATAATTTGAAGATCAAGTTATCTGGGATAACAACTTGTTTAAAATATATGATTTCCACATTCATATGAAAGTTAATTTATTATTTTTTTTTTTAAATATTTTAAGGCAACAAAATTGATGAAGGAAGTACACGGAAGAGGATGGAATAGTGATCTGGATGAAAGCTTCTACAAATTTCTGTATAATACATCTGGTGTCACAGATATTGTAAAAAATTTTGTCAAGGTAATTTAATTTAATAATAATAACTACAGTAACCATCACAATATATATTCTTTGGAATTTTTTTATAATGTCTGTCTTTTTTAGAGATCGGACAAACAATGGTTGAACTCGACTACTAATAATTCAGTACCAATCATTGAAGATAAGATGGATCCAAAGGATTTTCTATTATATATGGTAAATCAATCAGAATGTGGTAATGAAATCTTTAACTTGACTGAAGTCGAATTCGAAACGGTAGGAGACAGCATTCCTACATTTAATATGGGAAATCAAACGGTAAATTTAAACAATACTATAATTATTAATGGTTACAATTTATATCCATACATTCTCTAAAGCAGAATGTTTTCAATTTTTCCGTGACAGCTCGACAAAAAAAACAAAAAGAAGAACTTTGCTATTACTGTACATAATATAAATAATAATAACAAAACTTTTTTTTTTAATTCTCTGAAAAACATGTCAAACCTAAAATTCAGAAAAAAAAAACATTATACAGAAAAAACTACTATACTATATCATAGAAATAAGAATTCATTTAATACAGGATAGGAATATTGTAATATAGGATTAGGCAATCCGAGGGTTATGATTGAATTGACCAATTAAAAAAAATACGTAAATCATACAATTAGAATTTTTATAGCAATCTATAAATACACTGTGATTTCGTAAGTAGACAAATTTGCAAGGATTATTTTTTTTTTTTTTGTGGTTAGATCCCCAAAAAGGTTAACGTATAGAATAATATTTTTGAGTTATAATAAAAATAATTTAAAATTTAAGATTTTTCTTTATGGTTTATTATTATAATTTCATATTTTGTTTTCCTCTAATATTTTCCATAGTAGCAAACTACTTATAGCAGTTGCAGACTACAAAATGTCACCTTTAGCTCAAATAGAATAAACTTGGAAAAATGTTATGACCTTTTGCAATAACAGTAGCGATATTATATTTTCATATTTCACTATCATTATAGTACATAGTTTGTATTTTTAAATATTTTTTTTACCAAGCTATTGAAAACGATTTTTTAAATTATAAATTAACTAATGGGTATTCCTATCCCTACCAAACAGGAGTGCCCATCTCCCCCAAGGTCGATGGCTCAAGAAGCAATGTGTATTTGTTGTTTCAACCCAACCTGAGAAATAATTGTGTAAAATAAATATAATTTAGTTCAGAAACTGTTTACTTTACAAAGGAAATGTAACCTAACAATACATAGATTGATCTTGGCTTTCGCTTATTCGATCCTGTATACTGTTTTTGGCATATTAGCTGGTGCAGTGGCCCCTCCTAACTCTCTCTTGATGTTTTTTTAATATTATCTGTTGATTGATTCAGTATGCTGTGTCATTTAGCAATTCAACGCAGTTGAGCAGCCATGCAATCTCTCTCTTTATTTTTCCTTTCATTACTTAATAAATATTATTGCTAATAAATAATTTATTGCTGAAGTTTTTATTTAATATATATTTTTAGTATGATAAAGAAAGATATTTTATTTCAGGTAATAAGAGGAGAAGAGGCAATTAATTTTTTTAAGAAAACCGTACAAGGAATTGAAAAAATTCTTAAGTCAAGAACTGCAATTTCTTCAACAGTTAATACCAAAGATGTTCAATTATTGGATTAAAGGATTTTTTATTCCGCTTAGTTTTTTTGCTTTGTTTTTTCAAAATATTATATTATGTATTAAGTAATAAGTACTATTCTATTATATAATATGTATAATTATGTTATAATAGTAAGTATAATTAATAAGAGAATTCTTAATGAAAAGTTGATATTTCTCAATAAATGATCATACATAATGACCATCTACCCAAAAATTTATCTATTTAATATTTACTTCTATGATAATTATATAAAAAAATGCTATTATTATAACTATATGCCACCTGAAAGAAGGAAGCATGGAAGGCCAAAGAAAAAATGGATAGAGGACATGGAGGAATGTATGGCAGCCAGGGGGCTCCGTGAAGGCGATTGGATGGACAGAGAGTAGTGGGTATTGGGGATATGACTCCTTAATCCTTGGAAAAACCCCCAAAAATAAATAAATATAATTAAAAAATGGACAATCTCTATATCATTGGTTTATTGCGAAAAATCACTGGGTGCGTTTTTCATAAAGGTTAACTTTCAAGTACGTTTTTGTGAATTACGACCTTATTCATCTATATGAAAACATCATGAGTGTATGAAAATTACACATCCCCTTTTATATATCATATACAGTGTAATATACACCTTTATTGGAGGTGAGTAAAAATTATTTAATAAATTAATGTTGAGCAATTAAAAGGCAAGCTAATCTAGTTCTACTAGTGCAGGGAACAGAAAAATTGCTGCTCTGTAGTTTCCCAAGAAGGAAAATCCCAAAGAGGAGAGGGTCAAAGGTTTTTGTTTTGGCAAACAGTTGGTGTTTGGCTGGGGCGAAGAGAGGATGGGAGAAGTAAACCTGGTTCCAGTGGGTAAAACCCAGTTACAGTATTACCATTTTGGAAGTTGTGTTTGACAGAACATTGGAAAGCATTTGAAGACAAATGAATTTAGTACAACAAAGGAAGAAACAGTGTATATACAAAAAAGGTTAGCTTGCCAATCCATATTTAACTTTATTTTAAAATCAAACAATGTTTAGTCTAGTTAATTTTAGTTTGTCTGATTTTTTTGATCTGCTTGTCAGCAACCTGAGATAAATAAATATATTAATTCTCTTATAATTTTGTTTATTATTAAACAATCTATTATTTATTTAGGAAGTATCCCAATGATAAGAAGTGAGCTTCCGATGTTATATTATTATTATTTATAAAATATAAGAGAGGTATGTTACAATAGTTACACTAAGTGCACAGTTTTATGATTTCACAAAGAGAAAATTGATCCAAGTTCTTAAGTATTCGAGGTTATAAAATGTCACTCAATGATTTTTTTCAATATACCGACGATATTTTCTGTTGTTTGTAACGTGATAGTAAAAATTAATTTGCCCATCATTATTCATTTAGCTTAAAAAAGCTCTTTACAATAACTTTTTTATTGGTAAGAATAATTTTAGCAGTAGTTGAGCTAGTGTACAGCTTTTGGGATCTACCAGATTTCATAAAAAATTTCAGTTTCGGTCTGTCGTCAAGATGTCCGTCTATTTTTGGTAGAAAGTTCCTCATTTGTACTGCTGTGTTTTGTAGTACAAATGAGTAATGCATTTGCACTAGTATACTCTGTAAAACCACTTATAATTCCAGCTATTTTTGTTATTTACATGACAGAAATAAAATGTCTTGTTGATATTGTTTTTCTGATCCTTATTTCATAATTTTGAGACCATATGTGTGATGCAGATGTGCTGTGATAAATGAAAATCAATCATATCAGAAGTACGTATTAATATACATAAGTTTTAACGTATTTTCAATTTTTTTAATATGTAGATCAATTAAAAAACAAGAGCAATATTTGATAAAATTTGTTTTGAGTTTACCAACTAATGAAATCTAATGTGCAATATTAAGTATAGGTGAAGTTTATACAATTGTTATAAACTCTCGAGCTTTGTTGCGTAAAATTTTCTTTGTCATAAACATTAAAAAGATAAAATAAACAGTCAACTTTGAGGCAGTTTGAGTAAACATACAATGTTTGAAGAAACTAGTATTTTTTAAATATAATTCAGTAAGTATATGGAGTAATAAAGAGTACAATCTGTAGACAAACATTAAACCGAAGACAGCGGAAGAAAATTAAGAAAAAACTGTAAACAATTTTTATGACATTAGTGAATTAAATTATCTTTACTCTCTTATTGGTTTGATAATTATATGCAGATTCACTAGGTCTATAAAGGACTGGAAAAGTAATGATGTACAATAAACCTAAATAGGCTGTGTTTCATATGCTGTAAAAAAAAAGTTATATTCTTATTTTCATATACCATTCTCATTATTATTTACATACATATTTTTCTTAATTTTAATCATAGCTTTATAGTAGTGAAGACCTACGAAATGGATCACAATAAATAAACACTGTAATTTATGTATTTTATCAACAATAAAGTCGCAATAAATATGGTTTTAAATAAATTTGCTTAATTTGTCTTATTTATTTAATATAATGTCCTGTCTTCCAGAAGTATAGATTTCCCTTAATTTGTACATGTGAATGAGGAGTTAAATAAAGTTGTAACACAAGTTTAGTCAACCATTAAGTTTCAAAACTTGAGTAATACATTGTGTTCCAAGTTAAAAATAAAAGTATGAGGAGTTATTAAAATGTGACATTGGCAGTCTTTAAAGAGATTTATTTCTGTAAGATAATTTTATATTTTGAAACGGTTTAAAAGTTTTTAACTTTTAACGGCTTATTTACTGTTGTAGATATTTTCTTCCCTCAAACTTCCTTGTTCTTCTTTACCTGAGTTAGGACCTATAAGAATTACAAATCCACCTAAGTCAAGATATAAACTTCTCTTTCAGATTTTAGTATTCAAATGTAATTTTACAATAAAATGAATACTACATTTTCTAAGTTAAACTATTTCATAATTAAATGCCAATAAAAAATACTGTTCGGACAGCAAAAATCCTATTTTTTATTGCAATTACAAATTTCACTTATAAAGTTGATTATTGTTTTAACTGTTACAATTTTTTTACTGCCAATTCACCAGGTCAACATATTAGCTTTGATTACGGTACATTAACTTTACATTTGGCTCCTTCACTTCTCTTATGATCACAAAGTAATATCTCAAAACACAGTTCAGTATTGGTGTTTTGTCATTTAGTTAATTTATCTTTGGCTTTGAAACATTTTGGAGGCTTGCAGTTAATCCACTGAGATTTTATAATCTATTTTAATTCTATACTTCCACTTCCAAGCAGCAACTAGGTCTGTTTTTTTTCTTGGAGGTATTTCTTTGCAAGTCCATAACAATCGATCATAAGATTTCAATCCAACACCATACCTAAGAAAATTAATGGTTAGTGTTAGTGCCAGGATGAAGAAAATAACTTAAAATTTTAAAAATACTTTGAAATAATCTCTTAATGGAAAATTAAATGTAAGAATGCCAGATATTAAATTTCAGTGATTAACAATTTCTTGAAGTACTGTCAGTATTTGCTAAGCTGTTTAAGAGATACATAACATTTCAATGTAATCTATATTAATTTTCTGTTATATTAATATTAGAATCAGTGAAATCTTGATAACTTAGTTGCTTAATGCAATTTGAGAGATTCAATGATTTTGAACCTTTTAATTATAGTTTATGACTATTTTTTCACTAATTCAATCACTCAAGAAAAGAAAAAAAATATTTTAGTTGATCAACCAGTTGCACTAGCGGATCCAGGATTTAATTTTGGGGGAGGCTTCAGCCCGAAAGATTTTTTTTTTCATATATATGACGATAATTAATTTGAATAAAAAGAAGAAAGAAATGAACTACCTATATGAAATGTTGTTTAAGTGATTCTTGAAGTCCTATTAAATGTAATTACACCAACAAGAATACTTTAAGAGATAGTTTTTAATATTTTTTTCTATAAAACATAGTTATATTTTACCGTTTTGGAGGGGGCTTCAGCCCGAAAGCCCCCTCCGTAAATCCGCCTGTGACCGGTTGTAATATTGATTAAAAAATAGTTTATGAGGGTGAAAAAAAAAGAAAATACTTCTTCTGCCCAATAGTTAAAATTATTAGCAAATACCAAGAAGGAAAAGAAAAGTTAAAACAGTGATATTTTAGATTAATTTTAACTTTTTATACAAGATACAAGCAGAGAGATTTGCCAAAACTTCATGTTTTTAAATTAAACATTTATTAATAAATGATTAATGTCCTTAAACAGAAAATACAAAAGTATTTCAAAACTTAATAATCACCAAAACGACGTTTTTCCTCCATAAATAAAACAAATATTTACATTTAAAACAATGCACACCATCTATTGGCTAAATTACGAACTAAAATATTTTATAATAGTGAATTAATTTTAATTAAATAGATATTAAAATCAATTTATTTGACAGCCCACGCATTCTTGTGACAAAATAAGGAACTAATGTTGTTCATTAAACTGCCGAGAGATAACGCCACTTAATTAATAATACCTCAATATATGTATTTTTGCTTGAGAAAATATTCTTTTTAGTAATAGGATTGCATCATGCCACAGGAGCTCAACTTTCGGGCCTGGTATTTTTTTAATCCTAATAGCTCCAGCCGTTGAGCTCCTGTGGCATGATGCAATCCTATTACTAAAAAGAATATTTTTTTGATGTAAAATTATGTTAAAATATTTCAATTATCACATATTAGAAGATATTTTAGTTCAAAAATTAGCTAATAGATGGTGTGCATTGTTTTAAATCTTAATATAGATGTAATTTAAATTAGAATTAAATATTTTAAATAGAAAAAGGAAACTAGTTTGGTGATTACTAGTTATTTTAAAGGAATAGTGTGAATTGTTTTAAACATTTCAAAATGTTTTAAATAAAAAAATATTTTGTTAAATGTCTCTAAATTAATATAAAGTAATATAGAAAATTTCATTTTGAAGATTATTGGTTATAAAAAAAAAAATGTTAATAATTTAAATTAGAATTTCTAGAACAAGTTAGTAAATAGTATATTCTTTATTATTGTTGGCATATATAAAATAAAATGTTTTGCACACATTTCTAATGATAACTTTGAATAAAATGAAAGAAAAAAAGGAACTACATATACTTTTTTATACTTTATAAGGGTGTCTTCTTTTAAAATAATAAATAAAATAAAAGTAATATTTTTATATAAAATAGCAAAACCTTAAAAAGAGATACAATTTAAATGTTATAATTGTTGAAAGTAAGTATTGTATTGTATCAAGTTAATATGTTTTGTTTTATTTTTTATTAACAATAAGATTGTTTAGTCAGTATATGTGATTATCATTGTTTCTGTACTGATAAAGTCTGAAATGAATAAACCTTGATAGAATTAGTTTGTTTATCTACGTTTTAGAGACTTGAGGCTTCGTGCTTGAAATATTTCGAATTGAAACAGATTAAAATAATCCGTCAATAATATTTTATTTTTTAATTTTCAAAACAACAATTTATTTTTTAAAACCAATACACTATCATTATTATATTGTGAGGGATTCAGAATACTGAGTTGTTTTCATTTACAGTATTTTTAATCCTAACATTATGTTGTAAAATGCATTCTTTCTCTTTTTCCTGAAATTATGTATTTGCCTTGGCTGCATTTTATGACTAAATTTGAAACTATTTAAGAATAAATTTTGAAAAATAATATATAATTACTTTTAGCAATGTTAAAGCTTATTTTATACTTGGATCTCTTTGGCACAAAGTACATTTATATTAATTTTTGAACTCAAATCAATTTAGAAAAAAGCTCGAGTTATACCCCTTGACTTCTGATATCCTTTTTGTGTCAATTTATTCTACACTTAATTTAATATTCTAATAGGGGGCAATTGTTTTAAATTGATTTGAAGTATAGCACCATTTTTGCCTATGCTATTATATACAAAAAAAAAAAAAAAAAAAAAAAAATACAACTGAACAGAATTAGGTGAAAATTCAAAATAAAATTAGAATATAGGAATTATCAAAACTTTGCAGAAAATTTAACAATTATTGAAGTTAAATGTTTACTTATGTATGGAAAGATACTTTTTTTTAAAAGAAATATTTAAAATTAGGAATAATTAAAAAGAAAATGCTCGTTGCAGTGAACAGGAAGTTGCGATAACATGATGAACACTTGTGTGATACCTTTCTTTTCAGTTCTGTTTAATTGTGTAGTGTAGATTCATATTGACAGTTAATGGAAATGTTTTAGCTAAAGGGCAAATAATTATATTTTAATTTATCAAATATAAGGATGTAATCAGTCAAATAAATATAATATATGAATATTAACAAGTTATAACATTACAATTAAATATCTTCTTTTTAAATTTTACTATTATCTATTTACTGATAAATCTTAAAAAATGAGAAGTTCAAACTGCAAATTACTAATACCCAGCTGTCTTTAGTGCTTAATTTAATTTTAAAGTTAAAATGATAAATTATTTTGTTGAAGATAATTTAATACAGTTAATTGATAATTGTAAATCTTTTATTTTATGCCTTATTTTTTTTTTAATATTATCTTTTCTCAGTTAAAAGTAAAATGCATAAATTTATAATTTTGAGAAATTTAGGTGTGAAGATTCCATGGTTTTCACAAAAAAAAAAAAAAATGTTTTCATATTTTAGATATTAAAGTGGTGACCTATAAAAGTTCATTTTTCACCTTAGCAAAAAAATAATCTTCAGTTTTGCACATAAGTAAAATTCAATTTTTTTTGTATTTGGGGTGTTGCCTTAGGATCGATTAAATGATTCATTTATCAATATCTGAATCTTCAAGGAATACTTTTTAATTTCCAAAATATATGAAATAAGCATAAGGAGACAGAAGAGATATTTTTAAGTAAGTGCGATGCAAGAAATGGTCAAAAATGAGTATTAAATCAATTAAAGAACGTTATTCTTAACTATAGCATATTTTTAAGAGACAGTGTGGAGGTTACTGTTCTCCAACCACTGTATGTTTCTTTACTCATCACCTTTGGACACTAACCACTCACATTATTTGTTTATAAATATATATTTCAAGAAGGGTAAGAAAGAGGTAAATTTTTTATACAAAAACATAATGTTTAAATTTTATTTATTTTTTCACTCATATTTTTCAACATTTAAATATCACAAGAAAGAGTTTTCTAACAAGGATTAAGCCAATCATAAAAAAATTATTTATTATATATAAATCAATATTCGACACCATTGTATGCCAAATTCTGAGACAAAGAATGCATTATAGATAACTCAGGAGAGCAAAAGTTATTACTGCCAATGATTAATATTTGAACAAAACATATAGTCAATGCATTGAAAAAAATAATTAAATAAATTGAAATAGAGCAAAATAAAATAACTGAAGACCTTTACAACACCATCTCACAACAAGCAACAATATGACTGAGAAGTTTTTTTTTTTTTTTTTTTTTTTTAAGTATTTATAGTGCAAATCTAACTATACCTTTTTGTAAAATATTACAAAAAAGTATAGTAATTTTATTGTTTTGAATTTTATTCAATGGCACGTGTCATAATCTGCCTGTCGCATGATGAAATTATCTTTAATAAAATAAAAATACAATTTTGAAATATTCAATGTTTCATATGACTAAACAAATTTAATTCCATATTTATAATAAGCATAATTAACAAGTTTTCTATTTTAATTAACAGCCAAAAATCTCCTATAGGTATATACAAATAAAATAAAGAAAACAGAATATGAGATAGTGAGTTTAAAAAAAAAAAAATAAATAAGACCTTTTGTTTCAGTGAAAGTCAACCTCTCTTCAAATTTACAGCTAATTTACATAAAAATGAATTTTTTTCCTTTTTTTTTATAATAAAATATACATATTCTAAACAATGTACTAAAGGATTAAATATCTAATTCATATAATGTATCTGATATCGTTAAAAAGTTAACTTTTAAACCAGAATCATTTTTTGAAATGAACATATAAAACAATAAATACACAGGCGACGAAGATTCGAAGATAGATGAGAGAGCGCTGCGGGCTAGTGTTGTAACACGAACGGTTCGAGGTGACGAGGTATCTGACCGGCAAACGGTATGCCTGCTTTACGGATCGTCCTTGCTGCCAGGCAGGCAAGTGTTGTATAGCGCATCGGTTGGCAAATCTTGCTTACATCCTGCTCACTTTGCTGAAATAAAAAGAAATTTAAAAATGATTATTAATATATTTTGAGATATAATAAACAATCAAATTATTTTTAAAAGTGGAAAATTCAATAATAAGAAGGCTTCATAATTGTGGGCATGAGTTCCACAAGGTATTACATCCAAAATGATAACTTTAAGAAAATATTGTCTGTAAGAATACTTGTTCTTTCTCAATTTGAGAATTGTAAACGTTTCCAATAAATTATCTAAAAAAAAAATATTAAAACTTATTGGAATTTAAACTTCATCAATAAAAAAAAAATTGTATTTTAAATTATTACTTAATACTTTCTTAAAGCTCACATTTGTTATTATATGTTTATATTCTTAGACTTTGGTTCAGACTCTTTTTTATCAAATTATTAACATCTGCCTGAAATTCTGTAAATAGTTTCATCTCATCGTAACCTACACATATTTTATTTGCAAAAATTCTGAGAATTGTGGCGTTTTCAATCTGGAGATCGGCAAACTTAGTCTATTTAATTAGGTACTAAAAACTAATGAATACCCATCTGTTTTCACTTGAATTGTACGATATGATCACAAATTATTAAAAAAAAGTGGCCTACAAACATATTGAGCTGTTTGGCATGAGGTTACATTTTGTGGGTGGAGGTGAATCCAAATAGTTCAATATTTTTGTAGGCCACCTTTTTTTTTTTTTTATTTTGTGATCATATTATCTTAAGATCCAAGTAGAAAGCAAATGTGTATTCACAAGTTGTTAGTATAAAATTAAATAGACAAAATTTGCCGATCTCTAGACTGAAAATGGCCCAATTCTGAGGATTTTCGCAAATAAAATATTTGTAGGTTAGGATGAGATGAAGCTATTTACAAAATTTCAGACAGATGTTAATATTTTGATAAAAAGAGGTCTGTACCACGGACTATCTATAGAACATAAAATAAAAATATATTTTAACAATTTTCTTTTTAACAGTAAACTGCATTTTTGTGAACTAATTTGAATAATATGAAAAAAACAAAATTTATATATGAATATTCTGATAATCGAAATTATTAAAGAAACCTAAAAAATTCATAAAATTTCTTGTATTTAGGCTATTATACATTGTCCTCAGTTCGTCGAAATCGAAAAAACACATTTTTTTTTATTTATTTTTTTTTAGAAAAAAAAACTTTATTCTGGGACTAAGTCCCTTCAGAATAACAAAATTGTACAAAGAATAGAATATTACTGGCCTAAAAGTTTGAAACAATAAATAAAATAAACTAAAAAGTAAAGAAAACCTTAGGTGAACAAGCTATATATAATACAGATAAAACTATGTACAGAGTATTTAAAGCTATGAACAAATCACTTAAAACTATGAACGAATCACTTGAAACTATGAACAAAACTATATATAAGGGTTGAACAACATAAACATACACTTTGAGAAATGAAGAACGAAAAAGAAATAGAATAAGTTCATTCCATAAAAAAACTTTACTTGTATATATTTATATATAAAAAAAAAGAAGTTAATTATAATTGAATAAAATAAAAAAAAATGTATGTGTTGAAATTCCTACGTAATGTATGTTCCTATGTTCAATGTATGTTGAACTTTAAACACAAACATGCAATACAGATATATAGGGTATACATTCAAATAATCAAAAAGAGTACCTGTAATAGGGATGTGAATGTTCTTCCTGAAGCATCCCTGGCATCGAAGTGAGCACCTGCCTCGAGCAGCGACCTAACAAGAGGCGCTGATACTGGCCTGCATTTTGCTGCGATGTGGAGCGGACTACTCCCGCTGTCATCCAACGAGTTAGGGTCGGCACCGGTCTTCAGGAGTGCTGCAACTAGGGCAGGAGCAGGAAACCTGCATGCAGGGTACCTGTCCACGCTGATTTATTAGTGTCACTTTTTATCTATTCATATGCTTTTATTTTTTAAAAATTTAATAAAACAATATTAAAATTATTACAACAGCTATTATAATATTATAATTATTGTCTTGAATAAATAAATAACTCAAAATATATTTACCTGCCGACTAGAGCTGCTTCCTCAGAGCAGGCGAGGTGTAGCGGCGTTTGCCCTCCCTTGCCACGAGGGTTGAGAGACACCAAGAGATAGATAACCTTGAGGGCACGATCCCACTCGCTTTGTCCCATATTGGTCAGCACCTTTACCGTCAAGCAGGCCAAGTGGAGACAGATCACTAATACCCTAAGTTCGACAATATTCATTATTATCTTTGAAAATGATTTAAAAAAAATATTAATATTTCTAAAACAAATAGGTAATATCAGATCTAATTATACAGAAATTTTTTTTGTGAAATAAATAAATAAAACTATATCAATAATTTCATAAGGACAACTAAGGTGACTTTTTAATAAAGAAATGTTACTAAAAATTATAAATAAATCCTTCTTGTACCAATCTAATCTATAAAATTTTAAGAAATTAAAAAAAAGTAATTTCAACAATGTAGGAGAGTATGTCGAAATCTTTCACTTATCACTCAACTACCAGTAACATCATTGGTCTTGTCAATTTTGTTTACATTTTTGAGCATTGTTAGCTTTGTCTTCAGGTATTGTTTTAACTTTTCATTTCTTTCCTCAATCTAATAACTATTATTTTCATTAAATTTCTAGCTTTACAATTATACTTATTGGAATTTGTTTTTTTTTTTCTTCTTCCTATGATAAAAAGCACTGCGACCATGAAGGTATATTGTGTGTGTGCCCTAATTAATGTTGTTCTTAGTCCAGTTTTATATTAATGTTGTTCTTAGTCCAGTTTTATATTAATGTTGTTAATTATATTAATTATTATACTGTTAATTATATTAATTATTATCTTGTTAATTATATCAATGTATATTAATATTATTAATGTTGTCCTTGGTCCAGCAATATATCATTACCAAATAGAGGGAATCTTAACCCGGCGAACTTGTCGCACCAACAAGTAATATGATATGCTGTTTCATCACCCTGGCCATAGAATCTACAAAGAGGTGATTGGTGATGAACTAGTGACTCCACTAGTTCAAGTTTGAACATATGATAATTCGGTTTACAGTGTCCTGTGCAGATCGCTGTAATTTATTGTATTTAATAATCCAAAAAAGTACAATGTGTCATGATTATTGTTGATCAGAAACATAAAATTGTGTTTATTTTGATATTTGATCTGTAATACAAACTAAAATTAAGTTAATATTTCGAAACAGTACAAAGAGTCATGATTTCTGTCAAAATAGTTACTTTAATATTCTGCACTTAACATAACGTAAGCATAAGGGAGAAGTCGGTTTACACAACAGTTATTTATTAATAGGAAGGTTTGGAGATCGGTCATTTCTGAATACTTTCAGTATATTCTACTAGATTTTGTATGAAAGTGATATTGGCACAGATATCAACCAGATATGACACTGCTATTGATTTCTTTGGTCTATTTTGAAATGACAAAGAGCAACTTAAAATTTGATAACTTGATTTTAAAAGAAGTTGGAAAAATAATGAGAAAAATATAAATAAATAAAATCGAAAACATATTCCACACAAAATATTTGATAACTAATACACGATATTGAAATAAATCCTAGTAGTGGCCTTACAATGAATTATATTTATTACAGCAGATAATTTTAGTGAATAACACCAATTCTACTCCACAGGACTTCAAAATGTAATTATTTTTTATATTTAATTAATAGATGTGTCTGCTGTTTAAGAAATAATAAAAGGCAATAGAATCCACAGAGTTGATAGTCAGATATGTAGGCTCTGTGCAATAAGTTGATTATACCATACGTAAAAACCTTTATTTCTCATAGTTCAGAAAAATAGAAGTTATTATTATTATAAAATTCCATTTTATTATTTTTACAATTTTGTCAAATATCAAATATTACAATATTTGTCAAATTAGGAGTGAATATTGACAATTACAGATGTTTCATTCCATTACAAGTCCGTGATACAGACTCTTTTTTTTCAAATTAATAACATCCACATGTAACTTCGTAAACAGCTTTATCTCATTGTAACCTACAAGTATTTTATTTACGAAAATTCTGGAATTGGGGTGTTTTCAATCTCGAGATCGTCAAACTTTGTCTATTTAATTAGATACTAAAAACTCATAAATACCCATTTGCTTTCAACTTGAATCCTAAGATAATTTGAGCACAAACTCAAGAAAAACGTGGCCTTCGAAAATATTGAGCTATTTGGCATGGCTTACATCCACAAAATGTGAAAATAACGAGGTTGTAATGGCCAAATGGCCCAATATTTTTGTAGGTCACCTTTTTTCTCGATTTTGTGATCAAATTATCTTATGAAATGGGTAGGGTATATACGAGTTTTTAGTACCTAATTAAATAGACAAAGTTTGCCGACCTCCTATTGGAAACACACCAATTCTTAGAGTTTTTGTTGATAAAATTAAATTACGGTGATATGAAGCTATTCATGAAGTTTCAGGCGGATGTTAATAATTTGATGAAATGTGGTTTGTACCAGCGATGAATAGGGAATAATAAGTTAATAAATTAACATAATTTTAAATTGTATATGAAAATATTTGTGGTTACATTATTGTAATGTTTTAAAATTTCCCAATAACTTTTAACTGGTTTAAATTATTTTGAAATCTACTCCTGAGATATAAGTATTTTGAACGAAACTAATCAAAAGAAAGTTTCTCAAATTTTCACACAGTATAAAAACTCTTCCAATTTGTTATGACATAATAACAAAGTATACATTTCTTGTTCAGTGATGTTTAAATTATAATTTATAAATATTTATATAAATGCTAAACGAGCAGATACCTGTGAAGATGGGAAGAATCACGCTCTGGGACTAGACAGACACCTGACCTGACCTCAGCAACAGCTTTCAACAAAACGCTCAGCATGTCATCAAAAGAGACTGATGGCACCCTCCTTCCGCGCCCACTTGATCGCCCTACGAATAGACACATTATATAATTATACAATAAAATTAAGTAATAATAAAATAAATAAAATTCTTTATAGTAATAAATTATATAGTACAGCAACAGGTCTTGTAGAGCTTTACTCTAAAACATAGTAGGCCTATTCACACAATCTGATTCACATATTCTCGGGAGATTGTATGGTCACTAACTTCATAAAACAACAGGTCAAGTACCTCAAAACAAGTCTCTTTTATTGGGGTAAAAAAAAATTAGATGGCAATGCCCAATTTTCTACACATAGCGAAGTACCTCAAAACAAGTCTCTTTTATTGGGGTAAAAAAAAATTAGATGGCAATGCCCAATTTTCTACACATAGCGTTAATACTATAAGTATGTGATAATTTTAACTATTTAACTTAATAAGACATAAAGTAAACAAACAAAGTCTTAAAATTTATTGAAACAAATAAAACTTTAAAGGCAAGAGTTTACCTTCTTCTCCCATCATAAATGAGAACAGTTCTGTGAAGGAAAATAGAGATGATTGCGTCATTGGATTAAGAGGTTCTAACATCGCCTGTTGCATATCGAGGGCATATGACCATAACGAGATACATCTAGAAAATTTCCCAGCATCTGCGTACACGGCTCCCCGATATCTGTTGGCATAATATATACATCTTGAATTTTTATATTTAATTACAAAATAAAATTATATATAAAATAATAAAACAATAGACCCTTAGTCATACTTTATTTTTTCTTTTACATCCAAAATTTCAGCCTTTATACCTACCATCTTCATTCACTTGGAATGAAGCCATACTTTATAAAATAAAAATGAAATCGTTTGGGCTAATTTGGCCTTGTCACATGCTTTAAATCTAATAACATAAACAAATTAAGTAAGGATTAAATGTGTTTTTATAATTAAAAATAAAATCAAAGCCAAACAAACAATATTAAAAATATATAAATCGTTGGTTTAATGCAAAAAGTCATTAAGTGACATTTCTAAACATAAAAAAAATTAAGAACTTTGAAGAATTTTTTCTTGATGAAATCAGAGAAAATTATGAGCTTGTAACTATATTTGATATATTAAATGGTTTGTCTCATTTTCACAAACTGACTGTGTTCTGTATCGAAAAATGCATTTTTAGTTATTATATAACTATTACTCACAAGAGAAAACTACAATAATATTGCACGGCTGCTCAACTGTGTTGAGTTGCTAGATCACACAGCATACTCATGAATCAACAGATAATATTAAAGAAAAAAAAATAATAAGAGCGTGTGAGATCGGACCATTGGAATACACAATATATGCACCAAGAAAAGTATACATGTTGGTGGAAGATCTCTAACAAGTCTAAAATAATAATTTATGCCATGGTCTGCTTTCTTCCAAAAACTAGCCTCTGGAAGAAACTACTTATAGTAAGAGGTGTAGTTTTCCTACTTCCCAATCTAAGCCCCTTAACTTAAAATTTTCTCTCACTGAATTCATTTATATATTTTTCCTATAAGTAAGATATACAGATCATATAAATTTCCCCTTTTTCTGCCTGTATTAATCTTAACAGTCAAACATGATCGTGAGATCCACTATTAGTGTCTCCTTTTCCATCCCATTAAACATTAAAATGTCAATGGACCTTGTTGAGTCTTCTGTATCCAGGCAACAAACTTGAAGCTTAAAACTAATTTTATAAGTTTTCATAGCTATTTTTCAATTATCCTCGGTTTTAAAATAAAAATATAATTACAATAAAACATGAATATGCATCTCATTATAATCACTGTATGAGAAACAGAGAAAAATATGCAGTAGCAACAAATCCTTCTATTAAAACGTTTTAGAAAAGAAGGAGCGAGGAAAAGGTTCTCCAACAAGAATAACTGATTTATTTAAAATAAATTGATTTTTATATATATGCAAATTAACATTTTCAAGTTGTTATACATGTTGCAAATTTTTTATAATTGAGATCAAGAGGTAAGGATGTGAATATGGAAAAACAAATCAATATATACCAATCAATAATTGACTAAGGAATCAGTTACTGGCATATTCAACAATCACAAAAGTTTATTTTGAACAAAATATGTTTATTATTTGTTACTAAATTATAAAAAAGTTTAAGTAAAATTGAATCGGGTAATCAGAAATTCCACAAATTTTTATTGGGCTAAGAAGGGGAGCATAGTGTCTAATATAGGCTCTGAAATGTTATGCTGTAAAACATACTTAAAGTAAAAGTATTAATATATTCCTTAATTATTATTATCAGCACTTTTAACTAGAAAATAGATTCAAAATTATTAAGTAGTAATAAACTATCAACTATGCGGAGGTTTTACCTAACATAGTAACTGGTATCCGGGTGGGCAGGTCCGAGTATTCTCTCTCTAATAAGAAGAGCCTGCATCCTCATTTCATCGGGGTCGGCAAGCAAACTGTCGAGCTCTTCTGCTGTCCTCATTTCCCTTGAGTGTTCATAAGCCTCAACAGTTGCTGTCTGAACAGGTTTAGGCAAAGATGGCACGCCGTCTTCAAACCTAAACATGTGTATAAGAAAATGTAAAAAAATTTATTTGAAATAAATGATTTTTAGAGCAGAAAAAAAAAATGTGCAAAAAACATAATATTGGACAATGTTTCATTATTTCCAAATAATTATACGTCAAATAAGTGTGGTATGTCACAGTACTTTCCTTACCACTTCAAAGAAAATAAATAAGAGGTCTTTTTAAATATTGTGAGTATTTTAAATATAAAAAAAAACAATTTTTTTTTTCATTTCTTGTTAAGAAATAATCTCGATTAATTAAGTTAATGAAACTTTATAAAGTAATCAAATACGAAAACAAAGGAGATTGGCTCTGCAGTGGAACATGCGCTAAATATTTAGAACACTGTACCTCTGCAACCAATCGTCAGATTTCAAAGATTTTCATTCGTTTTTTTAGAAAATTTTACCAATTTTCAAATGAGCATACACATAATCAACTAAAAGATGTATACATTTTAAGCTCATTGCAAATAAAATGTTGCTGCTATTGTAACTTTTTTTCCAGCTTCTTTTCGGTAATTTATATTATACACATAAATTTAAAACGGAGAAATTTCCAGGCGAGCTTCATTAGAATTTTTACAGCTGTTAAGAAGCCACAGTGTATAATAGCAACACAGTTTTTTTGGCTGCCATTTTGAAATGAAAAGTCTGTTGGTAATATCGAGTTCCAAGGATCATCCTTAAATGACCTCTAATATTGATACCGAATCTAAAAACAATCAATGAGGTGGTTTCAGATAAAAGCCCTGGAAAGCATAAGGTGGACGATGGTCGGACGTTTTTTTATTCGATTTTCAGATTGTAGGTCACAATTTTGGGGGAGTTAACTTTTTCTTCTTCTTGGTCTATTATAAAGTTCCATTATTGAAAAATACTATGTAAATAATTATACGAATCATATATAAATCACAAATCGCATTTATCATTCTCTTAAGTGAGACATCAAAAGTTTTTTATTATTATTTAAGATTTAAGTTTCTCTATAATTATCACAGGATAGAATGATTAGATTTACCTAATAGCCATCGCTCGTTTCCATAAAGCTAGGGCGCCAATCATGTCTCTCTTCTTATCAACGAAAGTGGCCCCGAGGAGCTCGAGTGCATCTACACTCTCCTCCCTGGTGACTATCCTCGGCAACTGTATAAGATATTCTACTATGTGACTATGACCTGTAACACTCGCAGCCAACAGTGGTGTCATTCCTGGAAAAAATTTGATACTTTATCAATCCAAATAATTATATATATATCAGGAATATTAAATGAAACAGTTAACTCTTATAATTAAAAGTAAAAATTTAACTTTTACTTAAATGTGTAGATATATAAAATTTTTTGAGAAAGAGTAGGTCAGGGGGTGGGGTCAAATAAATACTATGTATTAAAATAGTATTTTATTGCTTACTAAATAAAATACTATTTTAACACATAGTATTTATTTGATCGCACCCCCCTTTTAGCCCTCCTCCCCCTGACCAACTCTTTCTCATATTATAATCACGGCCAACCATCTTTACACCATCACAAAAGTTTTTGTTGAACTTCTACTTTTATAGACACATGCCATTTCAAAACAGTTATTTTTTTTACTTTTATTTCAAACTTCATTAATAAAAATTTTTATAAAACATTTACTTGAATATTTTTTCATGAAAAAAGTTATTTGTTTTTACATTTTTATTAATGGAGAATATAATCCTCAGTATATTTACATAGCTATATAAAACATTAAAATAATTTTTTTGTGAATTTAATGCATAAGCAGGAGGATTAATCTGTATACGTTTACAAGGTATGGAACAAGATAGTATGTATTACGTTAATTCAAAAACACCTCGTTAAGAAAAACCCCTCTCCCATTGACTATCCCCACTAGGACGATATAAGTCAGTCCCTCCAGAAATGACGCAGGGGAAACTCTAAAACATCAGGACAAGTTAATTTTCTCTGAAAAATTAATTCGACACTGAATAATGGAAATTTAATGGATGACTTAATAAGGTAATAATCAATTGTATATGATGAGTAAAGTTACATACATGAAAGGTTTTAAAAAAAGTATGCCAATCTATGTAGTATATTGAAATTCTATGACATGGATCGTTAGATTAGTCAATTATGTAAAATAAAATGTTTGTAATACAATGTAACGTAATACATAAATGTAAACTAACGATAGCATTAAAAAAATTTCCATACTTGAAAATGGCCCTAGTGATGGTCGAAATGTTGTCGTAATAAAATACCTAATAAATAAAATGTTGGTGAATAAGGGCCTAACTTATATAATAAATAATTAACACATAGTATTTATTTGATCGAATTATGAACTTCTATTATTATTTGTAATTTTTTTGTACCTATAACTTTTATTTTAGAGTAAAAATTTAACAAATAATTTTTTATGTACTAAAAAAGTAAAAACTTTTACCTTTAACCTCTTATTGATAATTTTTTTTTAAACGGTTTTAAGTTAAACTCATTTATTAAAAGAAATAAATAACTATTACAACCCCTCTTAAAAATTATATAAAATCTGGTGTTAAAGTGAACATAAGTTAAAGATGGTATTGAAATCTGGTAATTATTATAGTGATTTCTCTACAACACTTTTATATATGAAATTAGGAAATGAAGAAGTCAAATTTTATAACCCAATGTCAAATTTTAAAACCTAAATAATTTTCAATTTATTAATATAAAAATAATTACACATGTTTTTAAACATTAGAGATAATACATAAAGTTAAAGAATAAGTAACATAACTTACCATAAGAATCTACATCCATCTTGGCTCCATGCTCGATAAGCATTTTAAGTATATTGAGCGAACCAGACTCTGCACAGTCGTGTAAAGCTGTGTTCCCTTTGACAGATTTACGATTTACGTTAGCTCCTAAGCCTAGAAGATACTGAGCTATTTGGTAATGTCCTTTGTAACACGCTATCATAAGGCAAGTGTGTCCATGACGATTCGACACCTCGATGTCTAAAAACAAAATTATTATGTTCAATTTACAGTTTTATTGCTTTGAAAAATATATTAATTAAAATTAATTTAACATTAACCTAACTACAGATAGTTTTCATGAAATATATTCTAAATGAATTATTGCTGGCAGTTTGTCAATGGGTGAAACATAACCAGGGTACCTATTGATTTATTATTATTTTTTTAAAAGTTTTATTGCTCACGTCTCAACCCAATCATGAAGGACTCAAGATCTAGTCATCGGTTGGATCATTAATCCAGTGCTTCAAGATCCTCCACAGTATAAGCTTGTCCTGATGGTGATGATGATCCACATGATTAGGTTGAAACGTAGGAAATAAAACTTTACAAAAAAATGGCTGTCATGATCCTCTATCATCCATGATATATTCTAAATATATGTACTAAAGAAGTATAACCAGGTCAGAAAATAAAATCATACTATAAATCAACTTTAAAGTAAACGTAAAATGCTTCTTTCAATATTTGAGTGATTTAAAAAATTACCAATTTTTATTTCGCTTTTTATATTATTTATGATTCACATATTAATGAAGACACCATTTATCACTTTGTTGCCCTGAAATATTTTTTCTCCAAAATTGTATCTCAGTTTTAGGGTTAAACCAATGAATGCTAGTTGTATACCTTTGTACATAATTTATTTCAATTTTTTTCTTAATTTCATTTTTGACTAGTTTGTTTTGTTTTTGTTCAAATAAAAAATTTATATAATTTTCCGTTTCATTAATCTATTTTTGGTGTATATGACTTAATTTTTACTAAGCTAATATAAATAAATCTTCAAGTCTTTTATTTGTGACATATATAAAAAAACATGAACAGTCTTGGGTTCAGTACTATTTAGTGAAAGTACTGTTTCTTAGTCAGAGGTTGTGCAAGGAGATTTGACTGAGATAACGCACAACCGTCAAGTATTCCTCCTTAATTAATTATTTAATTAAGGATACCCACTTTATAGAGGCTGGATGTGCCCCAGGAGGGTCTCCTTACCCAGGGTTGCTCCACAGCTGATGATATATATATATATATATATATATATATATATACACACACATTTATATGTGTTTAAAAATTGATTAAAATAATAGATGTAATTTTCTTTTATAGTGGAGAATTGGTACTCATCTATAAAAAGAGTTTTTCTATTTATTTAATTTTTTCCTTTTCTATCTTTTTCTTTTTTCTAAGCAATGATTATTTTGATTCATTCCTTGTTTGTTTTATACATAGTTTTAAGCATTTTGTACATAGTTTCATTTGTTTTGTATTGTATTCACTGTTAGTTTACTTCAGATTTATTGTTTATTTATTTGTTTAAAGTTACAAATCCTCTCGCCAGAAGTAATCCTTTTTTATCTGTACAGCTTTGTTATTCTAAAGCGTCTCCGTTTCAGACTCAAGTTATTTTTCTATTCTATTCTAAATTAAGTTCATATGGTTTTTGAGAAATAATACTTAAGGAATATCAGTAATTTAAAATTAATTAGATCTAAAATAAATGTGTTCTACTAAATCCATACCTGCCCCCTGCTCGACGAGGAATTTGACTATTTCATAGTGACCATCAAAGCATGCTGCTCTCAGAGGTGTCGAATTTGTTTTGGTTGTCGAGTTGACGGATGCCCCACGGCGGACCAGGAATTTTACTACTGAAAAATGTCCTGCCGCGGCTGCGCACCATAGTGGTGGTGCCCCCTCGATTGTCTCACCATCGAACACAACTGGAAACAAAAGTAATTTTAATTATTAAATATGTCAATTAAACCAGGGTGGCAAAGGAAAACATGTAGGATTTAATTATATTATATTAACTATTAGGACATTGGAATTAGCTAATTTATTTTAATTTTATTACATCTTTTTTCAATAATATTCCAAAAGTTTGTCAAAAAATAATTAATAATTACATACTACAAGTATTTTAATATACAAATTAACATAACTTAATTTGATTTTAGAAATTAATAATTTTAATAACAATGTTTAAAAATTGTAAAATTTAAGAAATGTTCCCTTTTAATTTAAAATCATATTTTTTAGGATAGTTAAGTAAAAACACCAAAATTTTAAGTTATTCAAAGCAATATTTCATAACAACTTTAATCATTTGATATGAAAAACTATGGGAACTTCAGAAACTATGGGAAATACAAATATTTAAATGTTTTTTTTTTCTGAATGCTAGTGTTTTTGTATCTTGTTTTTGACATTTTTCATCTCCTGTCGGTAACAAAGGAAATAAAAAAAAAGTTGGGCTTAGCACTAATGTCGCTATTAGTTATGTTAGGTAATTGGGTTTCCCATAGTTCCTCAAGTGTCTAAGCACATCTAAATAATATTTAACAGATACAGTTTTATACAGTCTGTTCTCTTTGTTAAAATTTTTCATTTCGATATGCAAACAATAAATAGTTTGACATATTTATCTGAGCCAGTATCACTAGTTAGTAAGACAATGAACTCAAGGACAATACGGTAACAGGATTAAATAAACAAACATGACGAGAGAAAGTGAACAATTATCTGATCGAGTCGAATGTCCACAACACAACTGAGACCATCATCAATTCATTTGTTTAACAAATCAGTTCTGTAATAGTAATGTAATAGATCTAGCTGATGTATTATTCATTGCGTAATTAATATCCAATAATAAGGTACATAATTATAACAAATTAAATATAATAAATTAAAATAATCTGTCATAATCAAAATCGACCATTTTTAATTTTTTTTTCTTTTTAAAATACTAAATAAACATCACCAGCGGATCTACGGGGGGGGGGGAGAGGAGGGAGAGGGGAGTGGCTTTTGGTCTGAAGATAGGCCTGAAGACTGAAAATGATAAAATACAGCCATGTTTTATAAAAACAATTATCTCTAAAAGTATTATTGTTAATATAATTACATTTAAAAGGACTTAAAGAATCACTCTAACACCATTTCAACTTAGTTTCTTTCTTTCTTCCGAAGTAATTATCGTAATATATTCATAAAAAAAAATCTTTCGGGCTAGTGATAAACATAAAATTGGAATTCGAACTAGACGGATTTTGATTGGGGTAATCAAATATTCCTTTCTCTATATGAGTTATTAATTGTTTACTAACATCGCATAATCTGAAAAAAAAAAAATAAGCATAAAACCCTTAAGGTATTATTCACCTTCCGAATACGATAAATAACATATTTTTTATCGAATGTTTTTGGAGTGAAATTGTAACTGAAAGTAGCGTCTAGAATTGAGAATAAATGAAAACTGAATCCACTCTCCGTTAAAGCTTCATTATAAATAATAATAATAAAAGGCTTAGCGAACCCGAAATTTCGATGGCGGCACCACAAATTGCTTATTATACACCTCCCTCCACCGTTCGCCGTCCAAACCCAGTCCCTTCAGATCAGCTTTAATGCTATCTTCCCACCTTCGCTTCGGTTTACCCCTCGAACGCTTACCATTCAGCACAGCAAATACTAACCTTTTAGGAATTCTCTCGTTACTAAGCCCAAAAATTTTTCAAGCCCATTTGATTCGCCGCGATGAAACCACCTCAGTTATATAAATCGGATACAATTCACGCAATTCTGCGTTGTGTAACCGTCAGAACTCTCCGGTTAACTCATCCTTCTTCGGTACGAATATTCTACGCAATACTTTATTTTTAAAAACCTTAAGACGCTGCTCATCCCTTAATGTAAGCGGCCAAGTTTCGCATCCATAAAGAACTGTACGTAAGATAATGGTTTTATAGATTCTAATTTTTAAGTCCGGGACAAGAGCTAAGTAGTTTTGTAACAGAAAAATAACAAGCATTTCCCGCCTTCAGTCTAACCTTAATCTCTTAAAACAAAGCTTCACTATAATTTTTCATAATCTTATAGAATATAAGTTTCTATTTTTCACTTTATAAATTTATACTGCATTTTTAATATCTATATTCAATAAAGTACCGCTTTAGAACTATTTATTGATCAATTTATATGAAGGTATGCTGAACAGCGAATTAATGCCATATGTATGTATGATCAGTATTGTCACTTCATGAGTTATACATTTAAAACATTCATTGTTTGGACAAGTATAAATAAATAGAACGAAAACCGCACTTCGACGTACTAATAAAAAATTATACAGATAAATCAACGATATTTTTGAATAATGAATTAATAAGTGTTAATTTGATTTTCAGAACTTTTGAACAAAATGAACAAATATTTTCAAAACAAAGGATTAAAGTTACGGATAAAATCGAAATGTTCATACAAATACCGAGTGTGAGACGGGTGGAATTAGTAAATATATTTACGTGGCCGATTAGAACCTTAATATCCAAACATTTTCATTTCTATTTTCACAACATAAAGGGCCTTTCTAATATAAATTGTTCATTTTATCAATAATTTTCTTATTACATCTACTTTGATATTCAGTTTATCTTCATCTAATTTCAGCTACAACGCGATTAAATGCTTTTAAAATACGAAACAAATAAACAGTGCCATGGAATACGGCGCAACAATCAAGTACATTGGGACCAAATATTCGTACAACCTGTTTTTTAGTCAAATCATCATAATTTTTTTAACTTTAAATAACGGCATATATCAATTAAAACTTCATTTTACGTTAATTTATGTAATGCCAAAATTTAAAATCTCGTACAACTTTTATAACATTAATATTTCAATAATTTGTACACAAAAAAGTATTCTTACACTACAGCAAACATTTATTATATGATAACTTATGTTATTAAAACAGTGTTTTAACGTTCTATTTATAATCCGTTACAGCACAAGATTAAAGGATGAACTGCATGAGAAATTGCTTGTTTAGTTCAATACTAAAAAATATTTCTTCGACAATATGCCATAGGTAAAAAGAATTGAGATCTCATCTTAAAGATAACATTTTCAACAGGGTTTACGTTTGCAGTATATTGGAAAAAAAGTTCAGACTACCTCATAAAACAGTGAAATAAATTATAAAAAAATTCAAATCAGTGAACAATAATGCCCGCCCAGGGAGAAAACGCTTGTTGACAGTGCAAGAATCTCGTGAAATTGTACTTGAAGTCGCAAAAAATCCCAAATTAAGTGCTCGAGAGGTTTCTGCTCACATCGCGTCAGATCATGGGAAATCTGTAATACCCCATACCATGAGGAATCAGCTACATGAAGAAGGCAAAATCTTTTATAAACGAAACAAACAGAAAAAAAAAGATTGGAGTTTGCCTGAGAACATGTAAATAAACCCAACACGTATGTGTTGTTTTCGGATAAAATCAAGTATAATATATTAGGATCTGACGGAAAAAAATATGTTTGGAGGAAAAAAGAAAGGGCATTTGAACCCCAAAATCTACAACTCACAGTAAAACAGGAAAGGGGCAGTGTCATGGTTTGGAGCTGCATGGGCGGCAAAGGAGTTTGTGAACAAGTCTTTACTGTCGGGATTATGAATGCAGACAAATATGCGAACGTGTTCCGATGCAATTGAAATAAGAGTGCGTGAAAGTTAGGAATGGAGAATACATGTATGCTTCAGCAAGCAACGATCCCAAGCACACGGCCATAAAAAAAAAAAAAAAACAGTGGTTGCTGTATAATGTTCAAAAAAATTTCAAAACATCCCCACAATCACCGGATCTCAATCCAATTGAAAATTAATGGGCGCTACTGGAATTACAAATCCGAAAATATTGTTATATCTCTCGGAATGACTTAATAAAGAATCTTCCAAAACCTTGGGAAGAAATTGAGCAAGAGATCAAGAGGCTCGTGGAACCGATGCCCAGGAGACTCGATAATCGTGAAAGGGTACCCTACAAAAATTAAAATTAATTGAGGTTGGTATTTATTATATTTTATTTGAGTTAGTTAAATGTACGAATATTTTGTTTGCAGTAGCTGACAACCATTAAATATCCAATTTCTTCATCAAGATAAGTGAAAGACAGATAAAACATAATTTAAAAACACTCCAAATAATAATCTAACAAAAATTTCAGGATAAATCTGAATAGTTCAAGAGAAAAAGGCAAATCTAAGGTATGATGCTCTTACTGACAGATGGTTGTTCCTGGGACACTAAGTGGACCGTGAGGGATCTTTCTAATTTGCCACTTATTAGGTTACGATTTCCGGAAAGACTATAGCAAAGCAGACAAATACGGAAGGAGAAAATATAGAAACTAAAAATATATGAAATAGAGGTCAAGGAGGTCCTGAAATTGTATTATCCTCACTTTTCGAGGAGGATATCAGACAATGGTGCTAACCTATGCATGTAGTAAAAATAAGATGTTTTACATAAGTTTAATTTAATTGCCTCACCTCGTATGTTACTTTTCAGTAACTTCAATCTAAGACTTTGTAATATAAACTTTAATTCATAGTATATATATATATATATACATATATCTTAAAGAGTAAAAGGTGGGTAGCGACAAACTCAAACTCACCGGATCCGGGCTGCTCCAGATCTGCGTTGCACCTGTCGACCAGATACTCCACTACATCGTAGTGGCCGTTTCGACAAGCCATCACAAGGGGAGTTGCTCCGTTCGTTTTTGTTCCTATTAGCATAAGGACCTCCTCCGCATTACGGTGCTCCAGGAACACCTGCAAGTATAAAAAGAAATATATAAACTTTTATATTATAATCAATACAAGAATTTGATAAATAAATTTAAAAAAGTGGCCTTTATACGTATGATAAAACATAGAACAGAAACATCAGAAAACTTATCTATATACAGGGTGTCCAGTAAGTAGAGGGAAATATTCAATTAAGATCTACAAAATATTTCGTTTAAGCATTTGTCCAATTTCCAGTAGAAACGCAGGAAATTTAAGATTGGTGTTTTTTTTTTAAGCGAGTCATGTTTTTTTTATGAATAGGAAGCGATAACTTAAAAAATATTTGATTAAAGTAATTAAATATTGCTCCATAGTAAACTAGAGAAAATTTATTTTAAACGAAAGTATAATTTGTCATTGCTAAAACTATTTAAAGAGAACTATTGGGCGGACAAACACAGCTAAATTTCGTTTTAAAAAAAGTCATAAATTATTTGTGATTTCTTATTTTTTTTTTTATCGTCATCTAACTATACAACAGATACCCCACTTATATAAAAACTTTCTCGTTTAATAAGCTTTAAGTTCATATTAATTAATTTGAAATTTATTTGGAAAAATTTTAAGTTTCACCTCAAGTGTTTTAAAGAAATGATGTGATTTTCATTTCAGTCATGTCAGTTTCTTTTCAGTTTTCAGCAGAAATGACTACAACTAACTGTTTTAAAAGCCTTTATTTACTGTTTTTTTCGTGTTGTGGGATGTATTGTAATAAACATAATTGCATAAAAACACCCTTTATTTATAAAAATAATAAAAAATTAAAAATGTAAGGCGGTTATGGAATTGTGTTTTTCTCCCAGATCTTCGTCATAAAAATTAATAAGTATTTATCAGATAGATACAAACCCTATGTTCCTTACTAAAATTTACGTTTAAAATAAATAAATATACTTATTGCTTCAATTATTTTCTTTGAAACGTAAATATTAGGGCTAGAACAAGTTTAGAATAAGTTTTTCAATTATATATATGCATTTACTATTTTTTTTTTTTTTGCTGGAAACTGGAAAATTGTTTATATGAACTTTTTTGTAGATCTTGATGTCTACTACCAATCTTTTAAATATTTTTCTCTATTTACGGGACACCCTGTATATTATTTCTCAAATGTGTATTTTGTTTTTTTGTTTTGTTTTGTCTTTAGGCCACATCTTCTTCAATTCTACATCGAATCCAATGATTGAGCCCTCATTTTGTTTCTTTTTATTCAGCTGGGAAAAATAGTCACATTCCGAAATTTTCAGGGGAAAAAGTTATAAAGAAAAATAAACTTTATTAGCGAATAACTCAAAGTATACATTTTTTCTTGTTTGTATCCACGATTATTTGTAAGATTACTAATCGAATTCGGACCATTATTAGCTGAGATACAGGCTATTGTAATTCGTAAACATTATGGTTTAAAATACGAAATTTTATAAGAATTTTGTTTTCCTTGGCCGACCACAACAACCGAAAAAATAGAAAATTACTTCATCATCTTATGATACGATGATTTATTTAATCTCCTTAATTCTTTGTCATTTGGTCACTCAACAATATTCTTATAAAATTCGAATAATTCGCACGAACCAACAAGTGTGATGTTATTGTTCCGCTTCTTTCGGGGGGGGGGGAAACGGAAAAGAGGGGGGGGGGGCATACTGACTATCGGTGACAGGTCTTAAAATTTACAATATGTGATAGTTAAAAAGATATAATTATAAAAATTATAGTGTAACAAAGAAAAACATTGTATTAAGTTATTTATAAAATAAAACTCAGATCTGTGTAACTTCCTCCTCATTTTACCCGCAATAATTCATTTTTATCTGATCTTTTTTACTCGACGTTGAGATTAAATCTGAAGCTTAAATGTGGTAACTAGATTTAAAAACACAAAAACGTATTTTAACTACTTTTATACTTCCATTCTTCATTTTTTAAAAATATTTATTCATATTTCATTATTTTTTTTTTTAATTTTCAATAACATCCAAGAATGATGTTTCATAATACAAATTCTGATATTTTTTATTATAGGATTAATTTTTTTTTTCTTCCTCAGAACCGAAGGTCGAGATGGCCGGTTAAACGAATAATACAATTAATAAAAATCTACCGTTAAGCAAATTTTTATGAATGTTTCAGAGATTTCGCGGGTAAACAAATCAATGTTCCATATCAATTTTATAAAATACCATTCATAACTTTTCTTGCGCACGCGTTCTAGTTTCTTAGATTTGGCCCACATTTGGAGAGTAGTTGGAGAATCAATCATAAAATGATCAAGTACTTTTCAATCAAATAAATTGTACATAAATAATAATTATTGTTCTAAATCAATACACGTGCTTCTTAATATACACATTGCCCTGGATTAATATTCTTCTTCGCCCGGAATATATTTGTACCATCAGGTTCTGCCAAAGGTTGTCCTAAATGTTAGAGTTCTACGCAAAACATTTTTTTTTGGAACGTACAGCATATATGAAAATTAAAAGGGCTTTAAGTAAAAGACTAAAGGCAAGTTTCATCAAAATCGTTATAGCACACACACAGCCAAGAAAGTTTTTTTTTTTATAAATTGGGACTTCAATGCGTAAAGATATATTGAAAACTACACATACAAAATTTGTGACGATTACGATTCTTTCCTTACCTAATAGCGGTATGATAATAAAAAAAATAATAATAATAATAAATTAAAATATCTACAATAATAAGAATAAAATCTTCAATAATAAGAATAAAATCTTCAATAATCAGAATAAAAGCTTGTTATTTTTAAAATATATTAAATACAAACTTTTTTTTAATATATTTAAAATTTTTTTTTAGTTTTAAGATGTGTTTGGCAAGATACTGTTGATGGATGGTGCTAAATTGGTTTATAACACTTATAATTAATCATTAATTAACTTATAATTATGTACTTACAATAGCAATAATAATTAATATTCTTAAATAGTAATAACTAATCAGTATTTTCAGCTGAATAATCAAATTAGGTGTATTAAGTATACTAACTTATCAATGTTTGTTGAAATTCGTACTGAATGTTAAGCAATTATCAACAAAAACGATAGTTTTAATCTAAATACTAAGAACAAAGGCACTACTCTTTGTTTACAAAAGTTATCATTATATAACGGACTATGAAACCCAATATCACTGTTCCGGGAGATTTCTCTCTAACATTCTCAGCCTACTTTACGGTTTTGTTGACAAAACAGAAAATAAAATACAAAAATGTCGACTTATGCCTCCTCTATTTTAGGTAGAATATAAAACAAAAATCTTTCTATACTGAATAGCCGAAATTCGAAAAATATGAGGACACCAACCTTAAGGAATATACAGTATATAAAAGGTTCAACAAGTTGTATAAATTCAAAAGAAAAATAAACTACAATAAATGTTTATCTTGTTTACTAGAGAAAAGTTCCTTCCCCCCGCGATAAATCGCATTAGAAACTGCGCAGACGTAGGACCAGCCGGAAGATCCTTGACAAAATATCTTCGAATCCTGGATGCGTCCCAAGACAAGACAAAGAGCAACGCACCGTCGCGGATGCCACGTCACGCATCCATCTAGCGCTAGAAGTGAAACTATCTTCCTGGGACACTTATATAAATTAACAATTACCGATCGCTCACAGGTTAACTATCTCATGGAAGCGTGACGTAACGAGAAGGAAAGGCAGAGATGCATCAATCGAAAGCACCGATAAACCCGGTACAATCAACAATGAGTGTTGTGAGGAAGATCTAAATTAATCTAAAAGTAACAGTCTTTCCTATTATTAAATACTATAATTCCAGGTTTTAATATAATGTTCCAAACTATAATTTACGTTTAAAATAAAGAAACCTACAGATTGCTTCAATTATTTTCATGAAAACGTAAATATTAGGGATAGAAACATTAAGTTTGTCATTAATAAATACACATCAATTCCTATGACAGAAATCTGAGAGAAAATTACAATTTCATAAACACGTTACATAAAAAATATTCGAAAAATTATTGTTTAAAAAAAAAAACACATTTGAGAAATAATATACAGGGTGTCCCGTAATGGAGGGGAATATTTAAAAGGTTGATAGTTTAACATCAAGATCTACAAAAAAGTTCATATAAACAATTGTTCAATTTTCAGCATAAAAGTAAGAACTGCGTATTTATAAGTGACAAACTTAATGTTTCTAATACTAATATTTATGTTTTATAGAAAATAATTGAAGCAATAAATATGTTTCTTTATTTTAAACGTGAATTTTAGTAAGAAACATAGGTTTGTCTCTGATAAATACTTATCATCTCCTATGAGGAAGATCTCGGAAAAAAACACAATTTCATAACCGACTTACATAAAAAATCATTATACATTGCAATAGTTAATTGTAGTAATTTTTGCTGAAAACACGAGTACTTTTAGGTGACTAAAAAGAAAATCACATTATTTCTTTACATATAACTTGAGGTGAAACTCAAAATTTTTCCAAATAAATCTCTAATTAATTAATATTAACTTAAAGCTTAAGAAGATGTTTTTGTATAAGTGGGGTAAATTTTTGTATAAGTGGGGGTAAACAGTTAAAAGATAATAAAAAATCACAAATAATTTATGCCTTTTTTTAAAACGAAACTAAGCTGCGTTTGTTCGCCGTTCTCCTTAAATAGTTTTAACAATGACAAACTCTACTTTCGTTTAAAGTAAATTTTGTCTTGTTTCCTATGGAGCAATGTTTATTTATTTGTTTATGTTTATTTACGAGTTGACGCTGATTATTTGGTCATTAGTTATTCGCTCCATTTATTTTCAAAAACCTCTATGCGTTGTTTATCTTTTAATGAAAGCAGCCATGTCCCACTTACACCAAGAACAATATGATGTATATGACTTTTTTAAATTCTAAATTTAAATTTTTTATAAAGATGGCGCGAACAAAGCATTCTTGCCTTTAAGCTGTAATTCTGTTTCTTTTCGATTTTG